CACCCAACTGCCTCACAATACAAGCCCTCATTTGGAACTGTCAAGGTTAAAGGAAAAGAGGAAGGCCAAAGAAGTAAATATGCTACAAAAAGAAACTAATAGGCACTCTGCTACGATTTACGGTTGAATGCTCTATTCGACCGTGAGATCGAAGTTTTACTAAAGAAAATCTGTGTCCTTAATAGATATTATTCACTTTTATGTTATTGAAAGGTTATGTATCTAATGATTTCGAACAGTTTTATTTATCAGTTAATAAGGTTGTAGAGAATGAATTTCATTAAAATTAGAAATCTTACAGTGCTATACCACTACTAGTAATCTGAAAGCACTAGATAGCTTTTTCGTTCTAATATGGGACAGCAGTGTGCATCCGAGAGGCCGACATGTGGGAGTTTTATGCAGGACCTACGGGCTTCCACGTGAACGCTTAACCTCTAAACTACTTAGCTGTCATCCACTGTTGTTAATATCTAACTCCAACCAATCTACAATATTGCACAACCTCACTCAATGTCTTCCGTTAGTAATTGTCTCGCATCCTACAGGGTTGAACTCCAATAAATTCCACAAAGCTAGATTATAATTTTCTCTGTTATTTTGATGAAAAATATCTTCAGGATGTAAAGTTAAAAATTCTAATGCAATCAAACCATCTAGCTCAATGATCACAATAAAGTATTATTCTTTGGTGAAGTACACTTCCTCTACACGGAATATTCTCGCTTTTATTCTATTTGCATAAACTAGTACAGTAATCATTTCATTAATGATTATCTATGATAACGTGTTATCTAATATTGCTAATAATTAACAAGTAGACAAACTGTCAGTGACTTTAGTGACGACTCATTCAGTTCTGCTGATGTATAATTTTAAACTCTTGTGCAGTTTTCTCCATCCCGGCCGTAGCTGCTACCTCGACGTGGTGCTCGGGCTTGCCTATCGTGATGACCTAACAGAGCTATACTGGCTGGAACATATGTTCCTGTAGGTCCTACCATGCCAGGCAGGTCGATTGGAGAACGATGAGACTCAAAGTAGCATCTTAAGTTTTAAGGGTGAAGTCATACTTATGAATTTATAGGGGTGTGACATCAGAGGGTTGTTGCCCTCGGACAACCAGCATCTGCAGCGATGCTGCCTTCTCACAAGGAAGGAAGGGTTAGAAAAGGTCGACCCTAAAAATGTAACACCTCACCCTACCTCACGGATTTTCGTCTCCTTGGGTAAGGGTGCCCACTAGGGGCCTTTAAGAGCGGAGCTAATACTCAAAAAACCTTTCATAAAAGGCCGTGCGTGACCGGCCTCAAGCAGTTGCCCCTTGGACTCTGCGGTCACGCTCCCAGGTCGTTAAGACCAACACTAATCTATCTTCCTTTTCAGGTCCCTCAAGAAACAACCTTCCACTGTGTGGGCAGCCGGGAAGTGGCAACCGCCCTCATACCCGCAACAGCACGAGAGACCAAATTGGTCAAAATCAAATCCTTCCTACACCCACAAGTACCTCTCTTCTCTCCAAAACTAACTCTACTCACATTCCTTTATCACACTGCACCGCTAAAGCAAACGATGCGAGTTCATGAAACGTCATTCCTGGTCTCTTGAAAACTCTTTCTGGACTACATGTTGGAGCATTTAATGTACGGACATTGTGTCAAATAGGGCAACAGGCATCATTAGCTAGGACTTTAGAATCTCGTGCCATCGATGCATGCTGTGTCTCGGAAACGCGCATACAGGATCCTGGTAAAATTATTAATCTGATTTCACCTTGTCAAAATAAAGAAGCAGCTCGATTTACTCTTCGTGTATCTGGAAGCCCTGATGCTGCTTCCTGGGATCTCGCTGGTGTAGGCATAGCATTGAGTCGTAGAGCTGAACAATCTCTCCTCGACTAGATCCCAGTAGATAGTCGTTTGTGCGCTGTCCGACTAAACGGGACAGTAAGGACTCGGAAAGATAGGGACACTCGCCGTTGCCTCTTCGTCATTTCTGCCTATGCCCCCTCTGACTGCAGTTCAGACGAGGTTAAAGATGAGTTCTAGAGAAAGCTTTCGGACCTCCTCCAAAAAGCTAGGCGCTCCGATGTAGTAATAACGGCTGGTGACTTCAATGCTCAAGTAGGTAGACTGAGTGAAAATGAAAGACATCTGAGTGGATGTTATGGTGTTGCGGCTGAGAGAAAAGAAAATGGCGGCTGTATGTTGCAACTATGCTCAGATAACCAATTATTCCTAGCAAACACTAACTTTAGGCATAAAGAAAAACATCTCTTGACCTGGCAACCCCCAAAGTCGTCTCAACGTTGGACCCGACTAGATCATACTGCCATCAACCACCGATGGAGGGGTTAGATAGAGAATTGTCGCTCGTTCTGGGGCACATGTTTGGATTCAGATCATGCCCTAGTGCGAGCGCGTATTTGTTTGAGGCTTACTGGGCGTAGGAAAGACATCGTAAGAAAGCCTCTTAGGGTTTTACTTAATGATAATAGGGCGAAGAATATATTTCAGGAACAACTAGAAAGAGTTATGCGACCATTTAAGCGTGTCCCATCCTGAGGCAGGTTGGTATGATATCAAAAAGGCTGTGGAAACAGCAGTGATATCTGCTAGTAAGGTTGACCATAAGGATAGGATGAAGCCGTGGATTTCAGTCGCATCCACCGAACTGATGGATGCTCGAAAAATCATCCCACCTGACTCTGAACACGATGAAGAACGAAGTCAGCTTAGGCGCATGCTGATAAAACGCCTGCGCAACGACCGTGAACAGTGGTGGGCGGCAAAAGCAAAAGCGATGGAAAAGGCAGCGGCGATCGGCAACACTAGACAACTTTTCCGACTTATCAAGGAAACTGGTATTAGGAATCTTAGCGTAAGTGAGACTATCTCGGAAAATGATGGGACTGTTATTTATTCTCAATCCAGGAGACTGGATCGATGGGCAGAACACTTTAGGGATCAGTTCAACTGGCCTCGAGCCACTTTTCGGTTACCCACGATCTCCAGTCATCCTGAATGGCAAATCGACGTAAGTCCGCCGAGTCTTTATGATAGACTTACACCTGAGATATTTAAGGATGGTGGTCCAGTTTTAGCAGCTAGGTTGACTGAGATCTTAGGTAGAATCTGGGAAATGGACGTAATCCCATCCGACTGGTCTCAATCACTGATTGTCCCAATCTATAAGAAAGGACAAAAGTCTTCTTGTGACAATCACAGGGGAATAAGTCTAACTAATATAGTATCTAAAATATTGGCCTCAGTAATACTTCGACGCTTAACGAAAGCTCGTGAAGAGCAAACTCGAGAAAACCAGGCTGGTTTTCGACCTGGACGTGGTTGTATAGACCACAGTTTCAAACTACGACAGGTCCTGAAACACAAACACACATTTAGGCGTCCTACAATAGTTGTTTTCCTGGAGCTTAAGGCGGCATTTGACTCTGTTGATCATGAGGTTCTGTGGCAGTGTCTGTCATTGAAAGGTGTACCGAAGAAGTACATTAACCTTATACAAGCTCTCTACTCGAACACCACTGGTCGAGTGAGAGCTTATGGCGAACCGTCATCTGAATTCTCTACTTCAAGTGGTGTCCGTCAGGGATGTCCACTCTCTCCATTTTTGTTTAATTTTATCATAGACATGCTCCTATAAATAACCTTATCGTCGTCTGAATTTTCTGGAGTAGACCTTTTACCAGGTGGCTCGCTTATTGACTTAGAATATGCCGATGACATAGTCCTACTTGGTGAAGACGCTGATAAAATGCAGAGTCTTCTGACATCAACAGATGAAGTGGTGAAACTTCATCAGTTAAGGTGGTTGGGACATGTGCTGTGTATGCCTAACCACCGACTGCCTCGAAGAGCTTTGTTTTGTAGTGTAGGAATAGGTTGGAAGAAGCTAGTCACTAGTGAGCACATGGTAGTCATTAAAGTAAGGAAATGGTTATTACTCGAACTCCAATGAAGTAATCTGAATCATAGCGCATGATTTTAATAAATGCTTAGAGATCATCTAAACTGTCTTCATTATACCGCACAGATGTTTTGCAAGAAAGTGAAATGTATTAAGTGGAAATTATATGACGACTGTTAATATAATGCAGTTCATCCAGAGCTCCCATTCATATTCCCTGCAATTTGAAATCAATGAAGTATCTTAAACGTTCTGATTTACTGATCACTGATCTCCTGGTTCATTATAAGGCCTGTAGTGGGCCCATAAAATAAATTTATCAAAACGTGACAACTGCAAGGCAACTAGTACACCAAAATGGATGCACACTAATAAGAAAACAGTGGAAGAAGATGACACTGTAAACAAAGTAGTACATTCAATAAACAGAATGATTATACTTGTTACATAAGAAATGTTACTTGAAAGCTCCTTCTAGGGTGAACCCCGAAAATGAAGTTCTTCTGCACGGTAGGCACCAATGGCATGAAGGAGAATATGAATCCGCTAATATTGTTCAACGAAATTCCAAGCCAATAGTCCCAAGTGTTGTAGAGTGGCCTACAAGGAATATTGCAAATCCTAATCCACAGCCAATAAGGCAGGCGAATGAATGAATGACATAGATACAAGTTACATGAACAGCAAAAGTAAAGGGGAATATCTGTCATTCAATCAAAAATATCCGTTCATAATTGAAACAAATAAGTAATACATATTAAATATGAATGTGATTGATTACATATAACATGTTACAAACAAAGAAACGATATAATCTTTATCATACGATTACAAAAATGATTAAATCTGCATGTCTCCTCTTCTATAAACTTCAAAACAGTTTGTATTGTTGATACGAACCATTCGATTAGTTACAATTCACATAACAATTTTTCAAATTTCTTCAGTTTTCGGACACAATACGGTAATATCACTTTAATTTAAAAAGCAATGCCAATGTTTTCTTTAAATAAACAATGAAAGTCATACACACGATGTAATTATACATACATACATACATACATATTATGTGACTAAACTTCAAAGCCATACATTTTCTTCATTGTTCGTAAATCATCTTTACTCAATGAATAAATATGACGATATAAACAAGGTAATGATATTTGATTTTTAATAGATTCTAATGAATTTTTATATGATTGTAATGTTGACATTTCCAGTAGTGTGTGCCTATCTTTTTGTCTTTCAATTTCTAATTGTTTCTCTGATTCCGTTTGAAGATGAAAAATCTATGAATTCATGGTTTTTAAAAGCAAAAAAAATATAAAAAAATAATATTTTGATCAATAATCAGTAAGAAGTTCATACGAAATGTATGCGATAAGTTTACATAATTTGTAAAAATATTTTCAAGCAATTAGTCCTGTTGTGGTGTGTGCTACTTATACGAACGATATAAGTAGTATAAGAATGGACGTGAAAGAAGTAGTCTTACGGTCAGAAGAGGAAAACGGAAAGCAAATAGAGCAAAAGCAAGAAAGAAATAGAGCACCGACAGGAAGAAAGGAAGCACAGCAGGAATGGAAGAAGGCTGGAGCGTTGGAAGTCAGGACTCAAAGATGGTGTGCAAATGGAGTGTTCAATGTAATGTTATCGTTTTTAATTGACTAAGAGTGTAAATTTGCCAAATACAATCTATTGAGCCTGCCTCACTGTATGATAGGATATAAATTTCTGTCATAAGAGATGAAAATAAATTGTTCAGACTATAACTCAGATCAATTTAGTTGGATGCACCACCTGTTTTGTAAAGCATATCTGTGAACTGACTGAAATAGTTCAGTGAAAGTCAACTAGTGATAATAGAAAATCATGGTTCCGATCCAAGGACATTGATATACTATCGAGATATGTTGAGAACCAACGGTCACTGACAATAGATGTCATAAATCAATACTAGTACAAATGTATTCAGTTTCATTACTAGTCAATGTTTCATCCATTTACCGCATGACAGTTTCTGGTATTCGTTGTATGATATGTATGATTGTTCAGCTTTTCGCCTGTTTTTAGTTGATAAAATACCGGAGGTAATAATTTAGAATATTCAACGGATTCCCTGTTTTCTGGAGTATTACTTAAACCATGACTTCGACCTAAACTAATACGAAACTCCATGACTTAGTTGACAGAGATTGAAAACAATAATGACTGATTGTAACTTAACTTTAATTAAAGTGTTATCTTTCGGAACTTCTATTCACATCTGCACGCATAGCCAATGGACACTTGTGAGTCATTATTTGATCTAGTAGCATAACTCACTCATTCATCACCTACACGTAGTGTTGCTCCACTGAAAATATTAAGGCAACGAGATGAAACATTATACAGGATACATCTTACTGAAATATGAATAGAGTGAATCTTTACCAAGCATTCACCAGTTAATACAAACACTGAAATTATTGCCTATAAATGATAATGCTTCTGATTGCAAAAATAGATTTCAAATCTTATAGAGTTAGTACACTGAATTAACATATTGTGAAATTAAAAATATATTTAATAACTTGGAAAATTTAGATTACGCAAACTTTTAACATGTCAGAAGTAATCTACTAACCAGTGAGTATAAGATTACATAAATGTTACAAACATTTGATAAATATAAGTAGTCCTCTATACGCCAGTTAGCTTTTGTACAGGTATACTTCATTGAAATAAGATCGTATAGAGCACCAACATAACATACTCATATGAATATGAATCTCCATGTTCATGTTTGTAAGATTTTTTGACAGTGCTGAGTTTCTGTTGGGGATGTTAGATCCCCAAAATTCGCTTGATAATGCCGTATTTTGGTTTTCACGTTTAGCCAGCATGGGCTGATCAGATGACCTTGAGATTTCAACTCCCACCAGGAAAATCCATGGCTGTGATTGGCTGCTGTGTATTTTAGTGTGCTATTTTCTTAACTGTCTCAAGGACGTTTCTATGTTGTATAAATAAACGAGAGTTGTATGCTTGATTGTACTGTGATTGCTGGGTGTTTGTAGAATATACTTTCTACGCTTACAAAGCCTTTTATTTAGACTTTGGGTATTCAAGGTAGCCTACCTGGACGCTGGTTTATTATCTCGTTCGCGTTTATCGACTAAGGTAAACTCGTAATAGCCTCAAGCATAATAAGTGACTAACTTATCAGTTTCAAAGTAGGAGTATGACGTTTATGGAATAGTATTCAAAACGAAGACAAATTGGTATTTTCATGAGGTTGAACTGCTTAGAAGTTCATTCAACCAACAAATTTCAATGCCGAACTGTCAGAAGACCATATTGTAAGTGCCACATGTGTCTGGGAGCGTTACTGTGAGTCAGTAAATGATTCATATGATCATAGAGTAGGCTAATCAAACGTGTGATCACTAATTAACTTGGTCGGTAGATTAAAACACAAAAGTATGGCTTGATCATATTAAACTATTTGTTGAGATAGTTTATCAAGTCTTTAGGTTCTTTGATGAACATATATTAATTAATAGGTTTAATGATAAGTGTTTTAATTATACCTTTTTAATTACCAGTAAGTTTAAAGATATAATAACGGTACATCTTAGGTTTTCTGTAGTTAATAATAACTTATGACATTAGATTGCTTAAGGAATCAGGAGAAAGGTCTACTTGACCTGAATCTTCAATTTACAGCTGACTAGCAATTTCTTAGCAACTGTTGTGCCATGGAATCCGAACCCTCTCATAATATCACAGTTTGAGATATTACCACTGAGTCAATGGGTCATCGATCGATCTGTCAAAGTGATACATTGTTCAATCGTGACATTGAGAACTCCTCCCTTTCTACCATTACTACCGTTCCCAAGGTCTAGACAAAATGACAGATTTTTAATTAGTGTGACATTCACTCACCTTATAACATTTAAGCACAATTTTTTTTATAATAAAACAGCCAAACTACCGATTGATCGAATCATCGTTACTTAAAAGATCCATTATCATTATCATAAATATAATTCATAGATTCTAATTAAAGTAATTTACGCTTTACTTGCTGTTATGCTCGTCTCTAGTTATGCTTAAAACTTTTACAAGTTCACCTTAGTTGAATAACGAGAACGAGACAATGAACCAGCGTCCAGGTAGGCTACTGTGATCCCTTAACCAAATTGAATCAGCAAGAAGTCTTGATATAGCGTAGAAAGTGTATTCTACAAACACCCAGCCAGCACACAACGAATCCAAGCATTCAAATTGCGTTTATCTATACCCCATAGAGACGTCCTTGGGAGGGTCACAAAAATAGCACACTGAAATCACACAGTGACCAATCACAGCCAAGGATTTTCCTGGTGGGAAATGTAATCTCAAAGTGAACTGATCGGTCCATGAAATAAATCCAAAATAAAGAGATTTATCAAGCGAGTTCTGGGAATCTAACACCCCCAACACTTGCTTCACTATCACTGTATCGTATATCAGTGACAAATATGAACACTATTTAAATAGGAAGTTTCTTTATTGTCAATGCATTGGTTAACCCAAACTGAATATTTCGAAGATAAGTTGAAGCAAGGATGTGAAATAAAATTTTATGATAAATAACATTCAATTATTGCTTTCAAACATCATGAGATTTTAAGTTTGAAAAAATTTAATTAGATGAGCATAATTACTTCATACAGAAGTGAAGCATTCGAATTTCTCCCTGTTTGACCTGTAGCTTGTTCTGCTAACCTCCATCTTGATTGGTTGCTGTTGACCTTAAACCTGTCGTTGTTTGCACCTTTGTTTTGATTGCATCCCCCTTTGATCTGTTTCTTGATCCTATGTCGCCTATGATTTTTCTGATTGGTTGATAAATTGGGTCAGTGTCGATGTGTTTGTTGATTGCTGATTGACCTGAGTGCCAAGCTTCTAAAAATTCTCTAGTGTTCTTTGTACTCCCCCTATCCAGTATTTCCTCATTGTTCCAATCAAATGTATGTCCATAATTGTCGGTGTATATTGATATAAGCGAAGCGTTGTCGTGGCGTTTGACTGCAAAGAAACTGTTCACTTTGTCCTATGTAGTGTTTTTCACAGTCTGAGCAACTTATCAAGAGAAATTTCAAGGATATTAAAACATCTGGTGGATGAATCCAACTACTCCATTAAGTCTGCCACACAATTCTTGGAAAAACTTAAGGGGATTCAAATCGACAACGACGAAATGATGATATCCTTCGACGTAACAGCCTGATTTATCTCAATAGAGCCAAGCTTAGCTAAAGAAACTCTTTCTCTGCTCCTCATCAACGACACAAATCTACACAAATATACAAAGCTTCAGAGTCAACGTCAGATCTTCAATTCAACATTAGAGTCTACGAACAAATAAAAGGAACACCAATCGGATCACCAATATCAAGACTCGTAGCCGAAGCTGTAATGCAGAGACTGGAAGCGTCGATTTTGCCAGTGATCAAGCCAAAAATGTGGGTTCGCTATGTAGACGACACATTCGTTATTATCAAAAGGAATGAGCTGGAGAACATCTACAATCGGATCAACAACGTCTTCGATGACATCAAATTCACGATGGAAAAGGAATCAAACAACAGCCTATCATTCCTGGATGTACTAATCACCAGAACTAACACAGGAAAACTAGAAACTCAAGTATTTCGGAAGCCAACCCACACAGACGTAATTCTCAACTACGACAGCAACAACCCAAGAACCCACAAGATCAACTGCATACAAACTTTGTTCAAGAGAGCGAAGACACACTGCAGCACATACGAAGCATTAAAAAACGAGGAAAAACACCTGATGACTATCTTCCAAAAGAACGGCTATCCACGCAACTTCATCAAAAAACATCAACCGAAACCATCATCAGAAGCGAAATCAAGCACAGGAACAAATAAACGCATCATCCTGCCATACATCAAAGACATATCGGAGCATACAGCACGACTACTGAAACCATTTGGAATAGGTGTAGCACACAAACCAACAGAATCACTTCAATCAATCCTATGTAGACCAAAGGACAAAATGACAAAGGAAGAAAAACCAAATATCATCTACAAAATAAATTGCTCAAACTGTGAAAAACACTACATAGGACAAAGTGGACGACCTCTTCAGCTCCGTTTACGTGAACATCAATTAGCAGTCAAACGCCACGACAACTCTTCGCTTATATCAATACACAGTGACAATTATGGACACACATTTGATTGGAACAATGTGGAAATACTGGATAGGAGGAGCACAAAGAACACTAGAGAATTTTTAGAAGCTTGGCACTCAGGTCAATCAGCAATCAACAAACACATCGATGTTGACTCAGTTTATCAACCAATCAGGAAAATCATAGGTGACATGCGATCAAAAAACAGATCAAAAGGGGGATACAATCAAAACAAAGGTACAAACAACGACAGGTCAAAGGTCAACAGCAACCGATCAACATCGAGGTTAACAGAACAAGCTGCAGGTCAGACGTGGATAAATTTGAGTACTTCACTTCTATCTGAAGTTTATGCTGATGATGTTGTTCAGTAGAAGAACAATGAAAGCTTCACAACCAAAACAACCAACTCAGAGAACGAAACACCACCACAATCATCCACCTGAGTTACAAGTTTTCTCCTCCATTTCAACTATATTCTGATTTTGGAATGATACCAGAGTGATACCAGACGACAAATTATTGAAATCCATTAACATTATTGTAAAACTGATTTATCTGAGTCCCTGGCAACACATCCATGAATTCTCATGGAAACGTAATCTTCAAACTCTATTGTGAACAAATCACACGTGAATACAACTTATTTAATCCAAAGTCAATAACAACTACAAGGTATTATCATCTAATTCAAAACGAAGTCACGAATTCGTACTATCAATGTGTGTCATAAATCAATAAAAATCGATCTGAGATAGACATTCACTGTTCGAGTGATATGAATTTGATGATAAAACTGAACTTTAAATTTAAGTAATCTCTTTCAACTCATAAAAAAAATCTTATCAATGCATTATACTGGTTGAGGGACAAAACGAATTAAGATTTGTTCAACATAAAATCAACTGTAATTTGATTCAGTTTACAAAAACACAATCATACTTCAGTCATTTGTAAAAATAATAATGGCTGAATAATATCTATGCTTACTATTGCATTACTAAGTAATTTATCTAATTCTGAAAAGAATCTTATTGATTGTTGATGAATTTCCTCAGTTATGTCTGATTGCATTGATTCTATTTTACATAAACAATATTTTAAATTTTCATTATTATTTAAACAAACAGTATTATGACGTGGTACAATTTGTTTTCTATAGTAAATATTACTTTTAGAATTTGATGATTTAATAAATAATCTTTGCAATAATGATTTCAATGTTGAATAAAATTTTAATTTACGTTGTTGTTTCATTTGTGTTGGACTGTATGTATGCTTTCTAATTTCTGTAACAATACAATGACTAGTAGTAATCAATTGATCATTGAAGAAAGTTTTATGAATTTGTTCAATGTGATATTGAACAAGATCATAATTATTATTAATTGGAGATGATGTGTTCGTGATATTGGAATTATTATTAAATTTATACGGTAACATTATATAACCAATCCATAATTGTTTAAATGTAATCGGTTGACATAGAATTAAAGCGATTGATTCAAATGAATTCGGTAATTGTTTATTTCTATTTGCTACAGCAATTAAATAACCCCAACCAATAGGATGCCATAAATTGTTGTATTCAAACAAATTTATATTAGGCAATTGATTGTAATCTATATATCTTATAGACAGATTCACTGGATATTCACATACAATAACATAGGTTGAATAGGATTCATAGAATTGTTTTAAACAATGAATATTTGTTTGTAATGGAATAGTCATCAATGATGAATGACGAGCATATTTAGATAATAATAATGAATGTGTTTGATGATGTTCAAGGTTATTAATCGATTTATTGCAAGGTATTATTAAATTTTGTAAAGAATAATATTTTTTGTTAGGATCTTTTGTATATAAGATTTGTGATGTTTCATCTAGTGAAATTTGTTCATCGATTTGATCATTGATAGAAGAAGAAACATGATTTAATTTAACACGTAAATAATCTTTATAAGACATTACATTAGTATGCTCAAAATGATTTACAACATTATTTTTAAGTAATTCCGAAATATTAGCTATTGAATGACAAGTGTATGGAATGTGAAATATTGTTTCATCATTGTGGTGATGAGGGTTTTTTCGCGCTTCGAATAGTAGTGTTTTACTGCTTGTAGATTGTAAATTTAATAGGCTGTTGTTATTGACACTGTTCCTCCAATTTGTATTGTCAATTAATTTTGTCCGATTCATTGAACTTATTAATTTAGTGGATGCTGGATGCTTTCGATTCATTGAAAAATCAGATGATAAATATTTTACCGATTGACTCGGATGTTTCATTTCGATTTGACTATGTGAATACATGTTTAATTAATAAAATATGACCGTTAACGATTTTTATAACTACAACTAACTACTTACATATGGAATATAGTTTATCATGAATCGAATGTAATCTTTCATTACAGTGTATATGTCTGTCTATTTGTTTGAGTGTTTAACACGAAGGTGAGTGAGTAGTATACGGGGGGGGGGGTTGAAAACTTGCACTGATTGTTTCAAACTTATCAAAATCACGTTCATTCTTTTGATGGACGACTAATTCTACTAATCATTATGGTTTAATTACTTTGATTGTGCAACATATATACGATGAGATAGTTTCATTGTATTAAAATGACATGTATATATCATGTAAGACATATAAAAAGTTGTTAGATAAGAAAAAGCAATATATACAATTGTTTAAAATGACTTCCATTTTGTGAGTAATTAATTTTTGTGCAAAAAAAAACAAAATTACTACTCGCTAAGTTAGTTGTTACTTGTAACTAATGATGTATATTATATATTGTTAACTGGTGTAAGATTTGTAGTAGTGATAAGAAAATGAAATGATAATATTATATCATACCTATAAATTAAACTAGTGCCATATTGTACAAAAGTATTAAAGATTCAATATGAATTAATATCGGTTGTTTAAAATGGTTTACTTACTTACTTGCTTACTTACGCCTGTTACCCCCAATGGAGCATAGGTCGTCCACCAGCAGCATTCTCCAACAATCTCTGTCCTGCGCTTCCCTTTCCAGTTCTGTCCAATATTTATTCATTCCTCTCATATCTTTCTCTATTTCTCGGCGTAACGTGTTCCTTGGCCTTCCTCTTTTCCTTTTACCTTGAGGGTTCCAAGTGTGGTATTGTCTTTTGACGCAGTTCGGTGCTTTCCGTAGTGTGTGTCCTATCCACTAACACCACTTCTTCCTGATTTCCTCCTCCACTGGAACCTGGTTTGTTTTCTCACACAGTAGGTTGTTACTGATGGTGTCTGGCCAACGAATACGAAGTATTTTGCGTAGACAACTGTTAATAAACACTTGTATCTTCTGGATGATGACTTTCGTAGTTCTCCAAGTTTCCGCTCCATACAGTAGAACTGTCTTCAAATTTGTATTGAGAATCCTGATTCTGGATTTGGTTGAAAGTTGTTTGGAGTTCCAAATATTTTTCAACTGTAGAAGTGAAGCCCTTGCCTCACCAATCCGCGCCCTGACATCTGCATCGGATCCATGTTGGTTGTTGATGATGCTGCCCAGATATGTAAAGGTGTTAATGTCTGTCCTCCAAGGCATCTCCATCAAGAGTGATTCGGTTGGTACATGCTGTGTTGCATCGGAGAATTTTGCTTTTTCCTTTATGTATGTTGAGACCTACTGCTGCAGAGGCTGCTGCTACACTTGTTGTCTTCTCTCGCATTTGTTATCGCGTGTGAGGTCGAAGAACCAGGTCATCTGAGAAGTCCAGATCGTCCAGCTGCGTCCTAACTGTCCAGTTGATACCGTGCTTCCCTCCAGATGTTGACGTCTTCATAATCCAGTCGATCACCAGGAGGAAGAGAAAGGGTGAGAGTAAGCAACCATGCCTGACACCGGTCTTCACCTCGAAAGAGTCTGTTAGCTGTCCATCGTGTACGATTTTGCAGTTGGTTTACATTACAAATTAGCTTCATAATTAAAGAATAATTATAATAGTTATGAAGTATTAAATATCTGTTTTCTTCCAATTAGTCTGAGAGTCCCTAAAATACACACCCATACAGATGTCATAAGGAAGTGGAGGAAATAAGCTTGCAGATTACTTTATTCCCCATTTAAATAGGTCCTAGCTGATAAGTTAGATTTTTGAGTATCGTATCACGATCTAAATTAGTAATGGTAGGATGCTTACTAGTAACTAACCTTTAAGTGAGATTTCTCGATGTCCTAGTGTGTTGGGGACGTTAGATCCTCAGAACTCATTTAGAAAAGGTCCTAATTTTGGATTTTTCATGTTTTCGTACATAAGTTGCTTAGTTGACCTTCAGCTTACATTTCCCACACTATCATGCATAAATAAGTTCGATCTGTGTGCTTATCAACCTCATATTTTCTGGATGCTTGTAAAATGCACTTTCTAAGCCCTATCAAGACTTTTGATATAGTTAGCAGGGCCTGGGACAAACGGATTAAAATAGCCTATCGAGTCATTGTATCGTTGATTTTCGCTCCGTTTATCGAGTACAGTGAACTCGTAATAGTTTCAAGCACATCAGTTAACGATTGATGGTTTTTGTAATCAACTAAGCTGGTAAGTAAGACAGGAGTTAGTTGATTGTGTTGGTGTCCTGTCATAGTGCAAATTGAATAAAGCCAAATATGTGGATCAGTAGTTTCAAGGTATGACATTATCTACACATTCTGAAGAAGTACAGTAAGTCTATGGTAGATTTATCAAAAATGTAGTTGCTTATTAAGGAAGGATAAGTCATTATTATCTCTTTTAATCCATAATAGAATATGCAAGAAATATCTATCTCTTCATATCATTATCAATATAGTTTGTTAATATTCTCATATGTGTTGAACAAGTTAGTGGCTATGTAAACTCAGTCGATTATGCTTTGGTCATTAGAAGCTGAAGATACTAGATTAACGCTAAGGTGTAGGTGTATTCATTAGACTAGTCCAAATTAACTTCAAATGATAATTTTGGATTCAACTGCTGGCCACAATTCATTTACTCTGAATTTCATTCTTCGTTTGTTTCAGTGTTTAATTTTGTTATTATTTTACATGATCCAAATTATTTTAACATTCTTAAACTGATTTTTACAATCTCAAGTTGCAATTACTTTAGCGAAATAGAACTGATCATATAGCTGACTTAGTTAATGCTAACTTTATTTTCAGTAAAGTAGGACTTTATTAGAATGAATCAGGAAAGAAATTTCGACCTGAATACTGTGAGGATATTCATCCAGTATCCTAAGAGAATTATTGGTCAATTCCTATTGGCTGATTCCTACTGGTCAATTTCATGGTCGTCAATGTCACGTGCTCCAATGTTGTTGCTTATTAGTTGTCCTGACTATCAATGTCACTCCAAATGTTGCTTCCTATTGGTCGTCTTAACTGTCAATGTCACAGACTTCGATGCTGTTTCCTATTCGACCAAAATGTATAACTACGCATTATGTGCAACGTTTTATGACCAGGACCCGGTCCCGGATCCCTAGTCCGGGATCCTGTTTCTCTTCTGGATCCGGACCTCGTACTTTCTGGATGCTTGTAGAATACAGATTCTGCTTCATATCATGTCTTCTTATTTTCACTGAATATGGGGGTTGGGACACTCGGATTAGAGTAACATGTCGTGTCACCTCGACCCTCGCTCTTGTTTTCCGACTAGGTAAACTTGTAATAGTCCAAGTATATCAAGTAGACGTGTTTACCTGCAGGCGTAACAAATACAATTTAACCTGAAAAAAAATGCATTTCCAAGTGATTTTACTTAATCATTTTTAGTAAATGTTCAATGGTTTATGAATCGAGTACCTGCCCAGCTTGTAATGTTTTTCTAAAACTTTTCAATAAACTAAATTTTACCTTAGAACATTTTAAATTACATGGCTTGGCGGTTACATACAAGTTTGTCCACAAAAAATTTATGGTTCACTCAGCTTTTCAAGATGACCAATTATGGATCTTGAAAGTAAATACAGATATACTCTGTAATGCGCTGTACTTTTATGTCGAACCCACAGGGCTTGTCCCAACCTTCGAACAAATTAAAATTAATCGATTATTATCGAGTTAGTAATCAAACATCTTCGACCTTGTCTATTATTGGCTCATATCTTGGTCTTTTTTTATTCGATTGTGTGAATCACTTGCTTCGCTAATTACAAGCTTTAGTCTATTTTTTCCTGATTATAAATTCTTAGTCAAGCCTCGTTACATGACTTGATATATGTTAGGAAAAGGCCTGAAAAGATTATTTATTTTGGAAATAAAGTCAATCCAGTTTTTAAGCTAATTATTCTTTCCAATAAAGTATTTTTACAATTGAATCAATCTAACAGAAAGTCGTCGATTTACCGTACTGCATTAATATTCAAAGTAATAAAATTATCATTGCAAACCGTTACCAGAGTTAGGGTAGTGGAAAACATTCTACTATCAGTATGCAAGAGGTTCGCTTGACTGCTTAGACTGATAGTTCGTGTGCATCCTCATGTCGCCATACCACCAATTTACTTAGCAGGTTGCAAGATGTTCTAGGCACGAGCTGCTAAAATGTTGCACCCGACTTGATCGTCTGAGAATACCCAACGTCGAACAAAACAAACACTACGTGAAGAGCTACGTCGAAAGAGAAGCTCTCGAACTCAATGTATTAGACGAATAAATCAACATCTCAGACTCGATGAACAATGCAGACACACACATTGTACGTAACGAAACCAGTTCATATCACATCATTGTATTCTGAATCACTCATCACAGCAGTGGCGTTATGATTATCATGTGACAGATACTTCATTAGAATGAATCAAGAAAGAAATTTTGATTGGAATACAATTCAATCTGACAAAAATATACATTTCTACAGACTCATGCAAATGATTTTACTGAATTATTTTTATTATCTATTCAATGGTTTTATAATTCAAGTACCAGTCCAGCTTAAATTGTTTGTTCATTTTCTTTTTCAATGAACTAAATATTACTTTAGAATATTTTAAATTACACAGCTTGATGATTCATCCATCGACTTAGTTTTTTAAGATGACCATTATAGATTTTGGAAACAAAATACAAATGATGCCACTCCTCAGTGGTGAATCCGGTAATCTGACATTAAACCAAATAATAAATTCTTCCAAGCAGAATAAAAAATTATTTCTGCATCAGGAGAAAAGACCTGAAAAGATTAATTCTTTCGGAAATACAGTCAATCCAGTTTTATAAGCCAATTATTCTTTCCAATAAAACATTTTTACAATTGAATTAATCTAACAGATGGTCATCAATTTACCGTACTGCATTAATATTCAAAGTAATAAATTTATCAAAAGACAACAAAGTAAATAAATATATTGATGATATAATTACTTCTTTCCGCTTAAAAAAAGTTGAATTTCACACACACACACACACTGAAATATCACAGTATTTTATAGATTCGATTCAGAGATTGTATTTTCTATTGGTGTACTTCTATTTGTGTACACTTATCAAGCTAAAAAAAAGAAGAAGAGAATTTCTTTCATTTACTGTGAATACCAAAAGAAAATAAGGGGAACAATGAAGAAGAAGCAGAGGACAGTATACAATTAAATTGTCAAATTTTATATTATGTAAAATACTGAAGATCTAATTTTTTTTCTTCAAAATCAAGATAATGATATAATAATTAACTGTTATCTTATAAAACATTCAAATTCAAGCTTCTTTATACATCAAAAATATCAATCAATATTACCTGAGATTAAACGAACTCAAAGTGTTCATGCAAAAAAAAATAGAGAAATACAAAAAGAGGAACATATATAATAAACTAAAAACCATCAAAATAATGTTAATAATAATTCATTATTCAATGTTCAAAAGCCAGTGTTTTGTTTAAATGAAATTGTATTAGGAAGCGGGAGAAACAATCAATCAAAATTCTGCTATTCTATTGAGTTTGTGTACTTGAGAATTTTAAATAAAAACTATACGTAAAAAAACAAACTTGATAGTGAAATTTACTAATAAAATAAATAGAATAAGAAGATTGTTTTACATATATAAATAAAATATAAAAAAATTCACTAGACACTTTCAATTTTAGAAACATTCAAAATTCGGTTTATTTTTATTTTTTGAATCTGTTTAAATTAGTTGAATGGTTTTAAACAAATTATTACTTTGCAAAATTTGTATACGTTAAAAATAAATAGTTTATTGATAAAAAGAAAAAGTGAGAATAACTAAAAGACATAAAACAAATCGATATATTGTGTGGAAAGCTTGGAGGTTGAAATATGTGTTGACATCAACAAAAAAAATACACCACACATATTTATCCACTAATCTAGATAAGAAGTACAGGCGAAAACAGGGAATAGTTGAAGAAAAAAAAAATATATATATATATATATATATATATATATATATATATAATTATATATATATGTAATTTGATCGTGTGGGATCCCTGAATTTAACCAGAGACTGTTGTTTTCTCTGTTAGATTCTGCCTTTCAATGGATTTAGATCAATTTTACAATCAGTTTATTCTAAAATTGATCGGAATGAGGCATTGTGATATCTGTTGTAAAACAGAAAAACAGATCAAAAGAATATGTTGGTTGAATTGAAATTCACAGTATACAAATCAGATTTACAAGCAATCAAAGACGTAACAATAAACTTTTGTTACGTTTTTTGATTGCATTGCTCGTGTTTCCTGGGACAACCGAGTGAGCAACGCTGTTATTAGGAAATGGGTACTAGGTAAGAATGGCAGATCAATCGATGAAGTGGTGAAACTTCATCAGTTGAGGTGGTTGGGACATGTGTTGCGTATGCCTAACCACCAACTGCCTCGACGAGCTTTGTTTTGTAGTGTAGGAATAGGTTGGAAGAAAGGTAGGGGCGGCCAGACTAAAACATGGCAAAAATCTATGAAATCACTGACAAGTGAACAACCTGGTTGGGGTCCGAGAGATGATAATAATCGATGGTTAGAGACCTTGAATGACATGGCTCAAAATCGTTCGCAATGGCGCCAGTGCATTTATTCTGTGTTCTCTCAAATCCTAATCTTCTGGATTCTTCAACACCTCTAGTTTTGTCTTTCTTAACGTTTCTCACTGAATCATACTCCTTGAATAATATCTTCAAATCCTAACCTCTCCGATTACTGCTAATATCTTTACTACCTGTATTACTATTGGATTTGGATCGACAATTACATATCTATGCTAATGTGATATGGCAACATGAACTGATGTACTTACGCACGAAGTTCTACGTTGCATCTGACTGACTGACTGACAATAAACATTTCTTTACGATAGTAACATTTTAAATTCTGTTGATTTCTGTTAAAAGAATACTACAACACAGATTATATTATTTTGAGTTGACAGGTTTATGATAGTGGCTAGTAAAGGGAATGTAGAACTTGCGTTTCACACTAATCAATCAGTCTATAGACACACATATAGAGTAAGAATAACTTAAATGTGATCAGGCAGACTAAATTTACACGATATCAAGCACACAGCTAAGGTTATTTTCATGAATTAGATTTTGTTTTCGATATAATTATCTTTAGAATGAAGCAAAGAATAATTAATATAGGCAGATAAACATGAATTCATTTATCTGTTATAGTCTTTAATCCTGTTTCCTTATTATTCTTCACACTGATGAGAACTTTCTCGATGTTGTGATATAAAGTTGTAAGCAGCTGAAAATAAATTGTGACTTCATGTTATTCTGCTAAATTAATTAGTCTTACTTTATTAAAATGTGCTCATTAGTGATTAGCTTCGTGAGGAAATTCTCGGAGTTCCAGTGAGAAGACGCGACCGGTGGAGTTCAACCATGTCGGATGTAAGCAATAATTACCGAAGACAATGGGTGAGGTTGCGCAGGACCGTAGATTAATCGGATCTACCGGTTAACATTCCGGCTCAGTGTTCTAGAGTTTAGGCTTTGGTGCGCCAGACAGAAGGTCCCGGGTTCGAATCCTGAGAGTGGTAGGAGTCATGAACGCGGATTGCTGATGAGTCCCTTGCCAAGACGAAGCGGTCATCCAGTGCTTCCACATTTCTAACGATGGTCTAACAATCATTCATTCATGAATTCAATGTAAAATTTATTAATGACCAAAGTTGTATAAAAGAACTACGATTTTCTCATCATGAAACTACACGACAGTATTTCATAATTGCAATAGGAATTTATTTTGTTCAGAAGTTTCGTATTAATGTACTTTATTTCAAGTTAATAACTTGTACGAGTGTAAACTTTCAGAAAGGGAAATTAAAAGTCTACAATCAATTCGGTGATAAATCCATACAATCAAACAAATTTTCGTTACATAGGTGAAAAAGATATTTTTACCTTAACTAACATGCCAAGTTGATCTAAACAAGTTACCGTAAGGACGATTATACACATATGGTTCGTGTAGATTGTGAAGATTCATTTTCGACGGTACCATACCAGATGATGTTACAGTGACAGGTACAGATGATGTTGTTAATGAATTGATTATTGTTGGTGTTGGCATTGTTGTTGTTGTTACTGATATTGTTAACGGTACAGTATAATCTGATTGTTTGCTATAGTTGATTGATGGTCGAAATGAATCAGATTTCAACTGATCTAATGTATCTCTGTATTACGAAAGATATGAATAGAACAATGTAGATTTTGTGGAGTGTTAAGATATACATACCAAAACTGTTGAATTATTTTATTTTTAAATGCTGTGCTTATTACTATGCGTCTAAATCATTACACTGTATACATAATTTTGAAGGATATTATCAATCATTACCAAAAATCAGAATTTTCAATATAAATGTTCGACTATATGGAGCGGAAACTTGGAGAACTACAAAAGCCATCATCCAGAAGATACAAGTATTTATGAACAGGTGTGTACACAAAACTACTTCGAATCCGTTGGCCAGACACTGTCAGCAACAACCTACTGTGGGAGAGAACAAACCAGATTCAATTGGAGGAGGAATTCAGGAAGAAGAGGTGGAAGTGGATACGACACACACTGCAAAATGCACCTAACTGTGACACAAGACAAGCCCTCACATGGAACCCTCAAGGCAAAAGGAAAAGAGGAAGGCCAAGGTACACATTACGCCGAGAAATAGAAAAAGATATGAGAGGAATGAACAAACATTGGACAGAACTGGAGAGGGAAGCCCAGGACAGAGTTGGTTGAAGAAATTTAGTGGGCGGCCTATGTCCATTGGGGGTAACAGGCGTCAGTAAGTATGTATATATTCAATTTATTGTTAATTAACATCTTTATTTTGTGTTGTTTTACTTGTCCATAGTATTTCAGTTTTTAACGATATGCAGTTGTGTCAGCTACTATGTTGTCCGAGCGTAAATCAACTTTTAATATGGCATATGACATGTGTTTTAATTAATATGGACATCTTTTGTGTGAAGGTCATTCAACTGACCTAAATCGACTTTAAATCAGTTAATTTTTCGGAAGAATGATGAATACGATGCTGGAAATTCCTAGAATCTACTGATGAAAGGTAAATTAAAATTTCTAATAATCTATTTTATTCCGGTCAAATGGAATGTTCAATGCAATATACATCGATAAAATAAAACGTCCACACTAAACACATGAATATTATTGCATAGAAAATGTATCTTGCCATAATATCAAGAAGTTTGTTTGTCAAACAAACAGAAACCACGATCACATTGTTAAAAACAAAAACACATGAAACGTTGTCATTTTAACAGTTATATTTGCATAGGCTTATTGCTTCAGCCTACACTATTGATAACCACTTGATCTGTATGTAACACATAGACACACACACACACAAACACATACAAATCGTATTTCTTCAAAACACAACGAAAAAGAATGAGAAGTAAAAGGCGAATAGATAAATTAACATTCTCTTCAACATACCTAGTTTTTTGCAGTCTATACGCAACTGATTTATCGTATAACTCGTTGGAATGTGATTCTTTATGAAACGGCTATAGTAATAAGAATAATTGAGAGAAAAAAGAAGTAAGAATGAAATTTTCACTCAGTCGGTCATGTTCATATCATTGATGCATAAATAATATTAGTCACAAAGTTTTATAGAGGATCTATTAAAAACAATGGGATCGTCCAATTCGGTACTTTGCTGGTGAATGTCTCTGATAATCAATGTTCAATTAGGAGAATATTAACAGCGCATAGATTCAAATCTTTTCTATCAATGCTGGTATATCAAACAATGATTATCTTATTTGAACTGTTACAGTTGAACGGAAATTAGAATTGTTTTCGGTGTTTTGACATAATTTATTTCTAGCCAGATTGCGTTTACCTAACCAAAGTATACCGGATTTCGAACAAGAAATAACAAAATGGGACAAAGTTGATTGTATGATTAGGGTACTCAATATTTCCTACAGTTACCCTAACCTAAACATAAAAAAAACGTTTTAATGCAGCTATGGTCAATGATAATGTTATGCTCGTCAATTGATATGCTTGAAACTATTTCGAGTTCAACTTAGTTGGTAAACGAGAGTGAAGACAAATCATCCAGTGACACGATAAGCTATTCTAATCCGTTTGTCCCCAGCGTGGCTAACTACATCAAGAAGTCTTGATAAGGCGTAGAAAGTGTATTTTACAAGCGCCTAGAAAATATGAGGTTCACAAGCACACAAATGGAGTTCATTTATATAAGATAGACACGTCCTTGGAAGACCCACAAACCTAGCGTACTGAAATACTACATCAACTAATAACAGTCAAGGATTTTCCTGGTGAGAATGTAATCTCAAGATCAACCAATCAGTCCATGCGCGGAAGAATAAAATCCAAAATTAGGACCTTTATCAAGTAAGTTCTGTGGAACGAACGTTCCCAACATAAATCATGTCACTATTTTATCTCAGTTTATGGATTATCAATAGTTCACCTTGGAAGAAAAACATTCTCATGAATTAATAAGCAGTGACATAGTCCGGAATCCTGATTCTCTTCTGGACTCGAACCTCGTACTTTCTGGATGCTTGTAGAATACATGTTCTACTTCATATCAAGTATTCTTCTTTCACTCAATGCGGGTTGGGACACTTGGATTAGAGTAGCATGTCGTATCGCCGGATCCTCGATCCTCACTCTTGTTTTCCAACTAAGATAAACTCGTAATAACTCAAGCATATCAATTAACCTGTTTACGTACATTCGTAACAATTTCGTGATGATCAAACAACAATAATTATCAATATAATCATCTATGTTTTATTCAAATGTTTATTTTTTTTTCATCAAAATAATCAAAACAAAACAATCATTTATATCTACCTCACATAAATCTGTGCTCGGTAATTGATTGGCTGAATTCAACTCAATCGGTTCCATAAGACCCATTTGAAATTGTCTTAATAATGTTTGTACAGCTGATGCAGCATCTCGTGCTTTTGCTTCAACACGACAAACACTATTCGCCAAATCTGCATAATCTGCACGTAATTTTTCTAATAATAAATTTGCTGGATTATTTTTTGAATATAATAATGTTGATTGATTTAAACAATAATTATTGTTATTATTATTCACTGGTAAATAGTTATCATATTTTCTATCATGATAATCAATGATTTCTTGATTAGCCTTGTGATGATGATGTTGATGATGAGGGTGATGATGAAGATGACAGTAATGTCCATATTTAGTGGGTGTATAACTAGGTAATTGAAGTGAATCCTCTTTGATTGTTGTTGGTTTGTATGAATTGGTTGGGTAACTTTTGTCATTATGATCATCATCGACCTGATAATTATTTATTAGTAAAGTTGATGGTGTTTGTGCAAAAGTACGCGTACTTTCACGTATGATTGAGGCTTGTTTCTGTTGCTGCATGAAAATGGAATGGATAATTCAAAGTGAATAAGGAAAAATCTTGTTTTAAAAAGATTTTTTCTATAATATCTTGCTGAAATCAAATAAACAGATATCAACCGTTCTAAGTCTCTCTCTCTCTCTCTCCATATATATATATATATATATATATATATATATATATATATATTCATCAAATATCCTAAAGAAATTATTTTGTAAGTCTAATTTTATTGGTCAATATTTAAGGTCGTCCTAAACTATCAAGTTCACATACTTTTAAATGTTGTTTTCTTATTGGTTAATATTCAAGGTCGACCTAACTGTATAAATATGCATTATCTGTAAAGTTTTATGCTGCGCTTCTTCTATACAAAACCTCATATTTTCTGCGTACTGGTAGAATACACTTTCTACGCCTTATAAAGACTTTTTGATGCTGTTAGTGGGGGCTTGGGACGCTGGGAGTAGAGTAGCCTATCGTGTCATTGGTTCATTGTCTTTGCTCTCGTTTATCGACTAAGGTGAACTCATAACAGTTCAAGCATATCGATTGACGAGCGTAACGATAAATATCTGTATTAATCATTCAGGATAGTGATCGAAAGTTTTAGTCCCAAAATGTTTATTAGCATTAACAAGTTTTATCAAACTAAAACTTGGACTAATTATACTGATATATTGATCGATTTTAGTTTCTATATGTCGTCGGTCAACTTATTCAATCCATTACTAGTGTTATGATTCACTTAAATGTTTTCTCAACAAAGAGAAAAAGCTGACCGTGGAAAGACAAGTGTACTGTGTGCTGGTACAGGTATTGTGATCTTTAGAATTCCTCATCATCTTTATCCTTCTCTTTCTAAAGTTATCTCATTGAACTAAACTTCTTGCATTATATCTTCTACTATCTCCACCACTATGGGATTTAAACTGACATTTGCGTCTCTGTGCTAATGTGGTATGGCAATCTGAACTGATGTACCTACGTACGAAGTTCTACGTTGTAAATGATATCAAAAATTTTTTGACAACATTGGAAGTAGTAGGTGAAACGTGGATAAATAGACTTAAAATAATCATCACAAAACATTATAACAATTATGTAATAAGAAGAGTCCAAAATAATTAGCTGGTGAAGAATATAAACGGAAAGAGGTGAAAAATTGCGAACAGTATTGTTTTCAATTAGATTGTCATCAGACTTTATTTTAATATACATGAATATTGATACGAAAATGTTAAACCGACCAAGGTAATTTATGAGTCAATAATCACAATGAAATAGACCACGCGATTACGTGCAACAGGTAAAAGTACAAATCGATATTAGGATGACAAGTGTCAGTCAGTCAGTCAGTCAGTCAGATGCAACGTAGAACTTCGTACGTAAGTACATCAGTTCATGTTGCCATACCACATCAGCACAGAGATATAATTGTCAATTCAAATCCAATAGTAGTAGAGGTAGTAAGGGAATTAGAAGTAATCGGAGAGGTTAGGGTTAGAAGATACTATTCAAGAAGTATGATTTAGTGAGAAAAGTTTAGAGAGTCGAAACTAAAGGTGTTGAAGAATCCAGAGGATTAGCGTTTGAGAGAACACAAAGAATAAATGCACCGGCGCCATTGCGAACGATTTTGAGCCATGTCATTCAAGGTCTCTAACCATCGATTATTATCATCTCGCGGACCCCAACCAGGTAGTCGACAATTACCGACATGGCTCAGTCCACTCGTCAATGACTTCATGGATTTCTGCCATGTTTTGGTCCGGCCGCCCCTACCTTTCTTCCAACCTACTCCAACACTACAAAACAAAGTTCGTCGAGGCAGTCGGTGGTTTGGCATACGCAGCACATGTCCCAACCACCTCAACTGATGAAGTTTCAATACTTCATAGATTGATCTGCCATCCTTGCCTAGTACTCGTTTCCTAATAACAGCGTTGCTCACTCGGGTGTCCCACGATATACGAGTAATTATTCGAAGACACCTATGATCGAAAACCAGTAACCTACGAATATCTTCTACTCTCATTGGCCATGTTTCACAGCCATATACGAGAACGGAGCGAACTGCTGCACAGTACACTCGTCCTTTGATTAGAGAACGGATATCACGCCTACGCCATAAGTGACGCAGGTTGGCGAAAGCCAATCGAGCCTTCTGTATCCGAGCTGAGATTTCGTCAGTCACCAGGCCATCGGCACTGATGAGACTCCCAAGATAAGTGAAGCGGTCTACACGTTCGACTACTTCACTCCCTATCACTAGTTCAGGTGCCGATGCAACCCAATCTTGAAGCAACATTTTGCATTTCGAGGGGGAAAACCGCATCCCGAACATGCTTGCATTGTTGCTTAGGGTAGTCAGAAGACTCTGCATTTTGTCAGCATCTTCACCAAATAGGACTATGTCATCGGCATATTCTAAGTCAATAAGCGAGCCACCTGGTAGAAGGTCTACTCCTGAAAATTCAGACGAGGATAAGGTTATTTCTAGGAGCATGTCAATGATAAAATTAAACAAAAATGGAGAGAGTGGACATCCCTGACGGACACCACTTGATGTAGAGAATTCCGGTGACAGTTCGCCATAAGCCCTCACTCGACTAGTAGTGTTCGAGTAAAGGGCTTGTATAAGGTTAGGATGACAAGTGTACCGATAGTAGTAAGCATCATTAAATACAATAACAATATGCAGCTGTCATGGCACACCTGGTTGATAGTGGTCATATTATAGTAGTGAATCATTTCGAGTGATCTATCGTAGTCCTTCATCATTTCCTGACAGAGCTCGATCCCGTCTCCTAAATATGACAGAAGCCATAGGAATCCGAATATTCCACCTCAATTCATGTGTTTAGAAGAAATTTGTGATAAACCCTGTCCCTTCCTAGGCCAGATATGACTTAATAAACGATTTTAAAATGTAGATGTAGACTTCGTGGTTGGGGTGCGCGAGACAATGCAAACCGATGGTTAGAGAGCTTGAACGACATGGCTCAAAATCGTTTGCAATGCTGCAGGTGCATTCACTCTTCATGTTCTCTCAAATTCTAATCTTATGAATTCCTCATCACCTGTATCTTTCTCTTTCTAAATTTATCTCACTGAATTATACTTTTTGAATAATATCTTCAAACCCTAGTCTTCTTCATTACCATTAATACCTCTACTATCTTTATCACTATGAGATTTGATTTGACATTTGCGTCTCTGTGCTATTGTGGTATGGCAATCTGAACTGATGTACATATGTACGAAGTTCTACGTTGTAACTGACTGACTGACTGACTGACTATTATGTGTAATTACTTAGTCTATTTCATTGTGATTATTAACTCATAAATTGACTTGATTGGTTTAACATTTTCACCATAAATATTCATGTATATTAGGACAAAGCCTGATGACAATCTAATTGCAAACAATCATGTGAACAAATGATCATTTATCCACATATTCTATGTAAAAAACAAATAAGCTGTTTCCTTCTCTACTCAAAATATCTTGGACGGTTTTTAAAAAAACAATTTACACAAAAAGATACTCATTAAACGAGTGACACTTGATACTACAATTAGGGTTTCAAAAATTAAAATCTTCATTTACCTTATTTAATAAACTATTCACCATAGTATGCGCTTTATTCAATGCATATTCTCTATTCTCTTGTAATTTTTGTATATCATATAATCGTTGATGTAATATTCGATTGGCTGATGTTAAAGCATCAATTCTTGGATCACTGGATAATGGATTATATTGATTTTTTCGATATTTATCTCTAGAAATTAAAAAAAATGAAATTACACAAAAATTATATTCAAGTAATCAATGGAATTATTAGCTTGAATTTATTAATGAGTAAAAAATCTAATGACCTATGATAGATTAGATGTATTTTCGGTGAAACTAAAAAGGAATATGACACGTATAACTAAGAACAAGACAACAGCTAAATGCTATTGAAATGTAATTATCAAGGATTGTAATCACTTGTTATTATCAATTGAAAAAAAATTTGCCAGGCTAAAATAAACTGCAAACTTTGGAACATTGAATGTAAACAAAATAATATTTACTCATACCAAACGATAATAACTAAACAGTACTGAAACTCGAACTGGAGCCCGTCTGGGGCTACTGCCGATACTGAGCCCGGATAAAGGAGGAGGGTTGGGTCTGGGGGTTGGCGACCCTAACCCATAAAAAAACTAACTCGCTTAAAAAAACGATAACCAGATTAAATAATTTAAACCCTGGGAGTCCTGGGAGTTATGACGTCTCGTGAAGAAAGCCAAGTTCCTTCGAAAGTCCCACGGCTGATGCCCATTTTCACAACCAGAGTAACTATTCTTTTGGGTACATAGGATGTTCGAACAATCAGTAGATTGGAGAAAACTGATCGGTAGCCTATACTTCATTGAGGGTAACAGGCGTAAGTATGTTAATAGAACTGGGGATGATTTATAATAACACGAAAGCAGTTGTGAAATGAAAATCATAATTTTCACTGTAGATTAATGAATGGAAACTACATGAAAATACAATAGAAAGAAAACAGACATACACAATGTCACAATATGCTTACATCACGTGATGAACTTAATTAAACTATCAATAAAATTAACGAAGTATTAGACAAGCATTTCGTCATAATATAGAACTTCTTACGATTAAATATTCACAACCTCACCAGTGAACTAAACTGGAACATCTGAGTACGTTTATCAAGGGCATTTGTATTTTCAACGAAATTATATTATGGAGTAGCAATTTTCCAATGCTGTTGACCAATAATTAGTCTTACACTGTTAGGAGATTCATCCAATATCCTAAGAGAATTATTTGTAATTCTAGTTCTATTGGTCAATTTCTATTGGTTAATTCTTACTGGTCAATAGTATGGTCGTCCTAATTGTCAACGTCACGTACTTCAATGATTGTTTCCTATTGGTCGACCTGACTGAATAAATACGCATTATCTGTAACGTTTTAATGATCCGGACCCGGATCCCAAGTTCGGAATACTGATTTTATTCTGGACTAGGAACTTGTACTTTCTGGATGATTGTAGAATACACGTTCTACTTCATATCAAGTTTTCTTCTTTTACTCAATGGGTGTTTGGGATAATCGGATTAGAGTAGCATGTCGTGTCACCGAATCATCGATCCTCGCTATCGTTTTCCGACTAAGGTAAACTCGTATTAGTTCAAGCATATCAAATGATGTGTTTACGTGCATGCGTAACATACACACTTGATGCTTTTTTGAATTTTATTTAATCAAGATTTGAGAATCAATTTGCTGAGTAAATAAAAATGTAATCATTTGTTGTGTGTGAGGTGTTTTTTCTAAATTCACTGGAACTTTATAAAACTAATGTACAAATGTATTGAATTATAAACTATTTAATCTTTTTTTAATCGTAACCATAACGAATTAGACTTGATTTTTTTTATACACAAAGAAAAACACTATATATATTATATACATATATATACTACTGGAAGTAACTCCGCTTGGAAGCCCTTCTGCGGCTCGTGCCAGTCCTAAGCCCGGATGAAAGGTTAGCGACCTCATCCTGTAAAAAGCCGAATCGCTAAAAAAACGCTAACCAGAAAAAAAGTATTCACTGGTTGCGTCCTATACTCCATTAGGTGTAAAACAGGTGTAATTAAGTAAGCAAGTAAGTAAGTAAGTATTACTGGAAGTGTTCATTAATCATATCATTAATTACTTCTGTTATTCAACTATTAATTATACAATCAAAAATAAAACTATAATAATCATCTTTTTTTTTCTCACATAATTGTATATACCTTTCAATTGAATTTAATTCTCTTTCAATCGAATGACATCGTCTTCTTAATCTATTCAATGATCTAGACGATACATCTATATGTCGATGACATGAAGTATTCGGAAATAGAGCATGTAAATTATTTCGACATGAACTAGATGAATAGAGTTAAAAGGAGAAAAAAATATATACATTAATGAAATCTAAATATAATTACAGTCAACAAACATTTATCCTCAAATAGTTGTATATTGATCATACAAGTAAATAGAATGAGAATTATATGTAGGTAAAATAAAAAACTAGGCTGGTTTCAGACCCGGACGTGGATGTATAGACCACATTTTAGCACTACGACAGACCCTTGAACACAGACAAACATACAGATGTCCGACAACAGTTGTCTTCCTGGACCTTAAGGCAGCATTTGACTCGGTGGATCGTGAGGTTCTGTAGCAGTGTCTGTCATTAAAAAGCGTACCAAAGAAGTACACTAACATTATAAAAGCTCTCTACTCTATATACCACTGGTCGAGTGAGAGCTTATGGAGAACTGTCATCGGAATTAACTACTTCGAGTGGTGTCCGGCAGGGATGTTCACTCCCTCCATTCTTTTCTAATTTTTTCATAGACATGCTTCTAGATATAACATTATCCTTGCCTGCCTTTTCAGGAAAGGATCTTCTACCAGAAGACACGCTTGTTGACTTAGAATATGCCGATGACATAGTTCTATTCGGTGAAGCCGCTGAAAAAATGCAGTGTCTCATGACTACCCTAAGCAACAATGCAACATGTTCAGAATGCGATTCTGCGGGTCAAAATTCAAAATGTTGCTTCAAGATTGGCTTGTACCGTTACCTGAACTAGTGATAGGTAGTGAAGCAGTTGAGCATGGTGACCGCTTCACTTATCTCGGGAGTCTGATCAATGCTGATAGCCAGGTGTGTGACGAAATCTCAGCACGGATACAGAAGGCTCGATTGGCTTTTGCTAACTTGCGTCACTTACAGGGTAGAAGAACTATCTGTTTGCTGATTAAAGGACGAGTGTACTGCTCATTAGTTCGCTCCGTCCTACTTTATGGCTGTGGAAGATAGCCAGTCAGAGTAGAAGATATTCGTAGGTAATTAGTATTCGATCATAGATGTCTTCGAAGCACTGCTCGTGTATACAATCGAGCAAACAATGCTGTTGTTAGGAAACGGGTGCTAGGCAAAGATGGCAGATCAATGGATGAAGTATTGGAATTTCATCAGTCTAGGTGGTTGGTTGTGTTAAGAATGCCCAACGACTGACTGACTCGATGATCTAGGTTGAGCAAGGTTGCCTAGGCAAGATTGTCTACTTTCACCCTTTCCCTTTCTCCTGGTCATCGACTGGATTATGAAGACGTCAACATCTGGAGGGAAGCACGGTATCAACTGGACAGGTAGGAAGCAGCTGGAAGATCTGGACTTCACAGATAACCTGGCTCTTCTATCGCACACTCAACAACAAATGCAAGAGAAGACAACAAGTGTAGCAGCAGCCTCTGCAGCAGTAGGTCTCAACATGCATAAAGGAAAAAGCGAATTTCTCCGATGCAACACAACATGCACCAACCAAATCACTCTTGATGGAGATTCTTTGGAGGACGTAAACACCTTTACATATCTGGGCAGCATCATCAACAACCAACATGGATCCGATGCAGATGTCAGGGCGCGGATTGGTGAGGCAAGGGCTTCACTTCTACAGTTGAAAAATATTTGGAACTCCAAACAACTTTCAACCAAATCCAGAATCAGGATTCTCAATACAAATTTGAAGACAGTTCTACTGTATGGAGCGGAAACTTGGAGAACTACGAAAGTCATCATCCAGAAGATACAAGTGTTTATTAACAGTTGTCTACGCAAAATACTTCGGATTCGTTGGCCAGACACTGTCAGCAACAACTTACTTTGGGAGAGAACAAACCAGATTGAAGTAGAGGAGGAAATCAGGAAGAAGCGCTTGAGGTGGATAGGACACACACATCGTGAAAAGCACCTAACTGCGCCACAAGACAAGCCCTCACTTGGAAGCCTCAAGGTCAAAGGAAAAGAGGAAGGCCAGGGAACACAAATAGAGAAATAAATGAGAAGAATGAACAAAACTGACAAGGGAAGCCCAGGACAGAGTTGGTTGCAGAAAACTGGTGGGCGGCCTATGCTCCATTGGGGGTAACAGGCAAAAGTAGTTAAGTAAGTAACTATGCCTAATTTAGTGTATACAAATATTTTAATATGAATGGGAATAACTACAGAGAAAACGATCGCTTTTGAATATTATTTTAAAACAGCAAGTTTTTTTCCTGAACTAGTCATGTGTTAACATGTAATACTTCTGAGAGTTTATCAATCAAGACAGAAGTAAGTGATTTTCTTGTTTACAATATTGTACTACATGATTGCCAGTATATAATCAATATCTTTGAACGTTAACTTGAGACTTTTCATAATCATCAATGATGCGGTATGGTACTGACCCAGTATTCTTTCATGATTTATTTATGGTATATGTTACATTTCAGCCTATTCCTATTATGCTCTGTTACACAACTTCCGAAAACGGATTATTCTGATTTACGTTTGAATACCTACAATATAACTGATGTGGGCATCATCAATGAGTCACTTTTAGTCACAAGTAAAGTGAAAATCCAGCAGTCGACTGAGAGTGAATGAATATAAATAAAAAACATTCCAAAAAACTAGTTCTTCACGAGAACGCAAAACTTAGTTCGAAATGTTTTGCAATGAAACAATAACTACTCATTAGTAGTATAGATTGATTATACAAATTACTTTGATTAATTTTGGTTTGAATTCGAACTCATGCTTATTGTGATGATATGATAAAAACCTATTTACCGTAATTTACACACATTTCATTCAGTTGATTTATCTATAGCATTACTGATTACCATTAAATACGCATCTGGAAGATACAATCTCGAAAACAAGTTCGCATGAAGACAATAATTTATTTTGTAGTTTATATTAAAGACTAACTGAAACAAGACAACCATTGTGAGCAAAGAAGGCAATCGATAGATAAAAGTTTATAGTGTAGTTCACTAAATATGGAAAAACTGTGAAGCATTATCTGAGTTACAATTACAAATACACATTTTTATCAATCTTCACAAACCTCCTTTACCAAGAACTCATTTTATATAGTTTGAAATTCTAAAATGAAAAAATCATCTTAAACAATGATCAATTACTCACTGAATATTCCTACTGTGTAGTTCATGTTCCCTTGAATTATTTTCAATTTCCTGTTCCATTGTATATGATTGTTTAGGCACGTTGTCAGCATACTCTGGATTATTTATCTGTAATGAATGAATACTGAATTAAGTTATAAGAAAACTCCTTTTAAAAAATCAATTTTAGCAAAGAAAACTATTCAACTCTTGCTATTATATAAGGAATCGTCGATATATTTTGACATCATACACAGTAAATAATTTTGTCTAATAATAAACGTGACATTTTACAATGTAGCATCTATAGATCAGTTATTAAAAGAAAAAAGCGAAACTAATCACGAATCAGCCCTACGTTGAACAACAACATGGTGAACGAGATAAATTGACAATACAAATATTATTTTATTTTCCATCGATTCGATATTTTCTTTAGACATACTGTTACACCTGCATGTAAACACACCAACTTGATATACTTGAACTATTACGAGTTTACCTAGTCGGAAAACGAGAGCGAAGATCGAGGATCCAGTGACACCACATGCTACTCAAATTCGATTATCCCAACCCCCATATTCAGTGAAAATAAGAAATGATATGAAGTAGAACACGTATTCTACAAGCATCCAGAAAGTACGAGGTCCGAGTCCAGGAGATAATCAGGATCCCAGACTAGGTATCCGGGACCAGGTACTGGTCCTGGCCATAAAACGTTACAGATCATGCGTATTTATACATTTTGGTCGAATAGGGAACAGCATCGAAGTCTGTGACATTGACAGTTAAGACGACCAATAGGAAGCAAGATTTGAAGTGACATTGATAGTCAGGAACCAATAAGAAATAACATTGGAGCACGTGACATTGATATCTAGGACGACCATAAAATTGACCAGTAGGAATTAACCAATAGGAATAGACCAATAATTCTCTTAGAATATTGGATGAATATCCTAACACATACAAAGTTAATTGGAATACAATCTTACAATTAATATTCAAAAAAATTGTTGTAGAAAATTTTTTAAATTTCGAAGTAATATACTACATATCATTGACTTCATTTGTTACTCTGATGTACATTTTATAGAAAGCAAATTGTAATTTCATGTGGGTAAATATTTACCCTACATGCATGATTCATTGTGATCGATAAACACATCTCAATAATTGAAAAGGTGTGAAAGTTAAAAAAATTTTCGATGAATGTTATTATTTTCTTCGAAAAATCAATAAAATGCACTGGACTGATTAGACATTTTTATTTTCATGAAGTTTTGAAGCTGACGCTAACAATCTCATATTGTAAAACACTATTTTCACAGATTCTTGATCATTATAATTGTTATGCTTGTCACTGGATATGCTTGAAACTATTACGAGTTCCATTCAGTCGATAAACGAGGACGAGACAATGAACCAGTGACACGGTAGGCTACTCTGATCCGTCGCCACAACTAACTGAAGAAAAAGTTTTGATATGGCGTAGAAAGTGTATTCTACAAACATCCAGCAAGCACAATGAATTCAAGATGGTGGAGAAAACTTGTAGCTCAGGTGGATGATTGTGGTGGTGTTTTGTTCTCTGAGCTGGTTGTTTTGGTTGTGGAGCTTTCATTGTTCTTCTGAACAACATCATCAGCACGAACTTCAGATAGAAGTTCGTGCTGATGATGTTGTTCAGAAGAACAATGAAAGCTCCACAACCAAAACAACCAGCTCAGAGAACAAAACACCACCACAATGAATTCAAGCACACAAATCGTGCTTATTTATACATGATAGAAACGTCCTTGGGACAATCACAAAAATAGCATACTAAAATAACACATCAACCAATCACAGCCAAAGATTTTCCTGTTGGGAAATGTGATCTCAAGGTCAACTGATCAGCCTATGAATATAATCCAAAATTAAGACCTTTATAAACGTCTAACGTCCCCGACAATAATACGATTAAGTAAAATTTATTATCATTTATACACCTAGTTCAAAGAAGAATAAAGCATGATTCATTGATAATTTAATATCAGAAATTACTATCTCATGGTGTAGATCACACTATCTAATATCAATAAAATAATTCCATTTGGTAATGAAAATAATTCTTTTTTCATATCAAATGAATGATCACTCAGACTTATTTTGTATATTCATGTAACTGGACACAATAAATCAATTTAAATGTTTGTAATCAGTAGTACAGAGTAACCAAAATCAAATCGGAAGTCCGGTTGTCAATACGAGTAATTTTTATCTACAAATAGAGGAAAAAGAGGTAATGTTGTTTACTTACACAACTAGCCTAAATAACTTCAGCCAAATAACAATCTGTGTGATCGCAAAAAAGTTTCTTATTACTAATAAGCGATTTGAGTGTACAAATCTAGGCCATTACAACTATTTGTGTGTATTGCTTGAAAAATTAACAGAAAACTATTATTCCTGTTACTAATTTATTAGTTTTGCCTATTCTAGAGATGGTTTACCTTTCTCTCTGATGACTGTGAATATATTAATTGCTACAAATGGAATTAAATAACCAGTTAAAAGTATCGTAAATGTCTTTTTTTGATTGCATGGAGAACGGTCTGCTGGAAAAGATTTATTGGCATTTTAAACAATACATAAAAAACTACAATATCTCCTTAATCGGATCATCATGTTTCGAAGACAACAATTATAATGGAAATAAAATGTTTAATTATCCGCATACATCAGTTCTTATGTTTAATTATCTTAAGATTACTGAAAGTAACTGGTAGTGAGCCTTGAATTTAGGTTTTGTGGAGGTTGGTATCCAGTGTCATGTGCACTGTTACAATTAAAAAAATGAGAATCCAGGTGTTCTGTTCTATAAAGAACGCTACTTTCCTTCATGGTGAAAAAACACATGACTTATGAGTCCTATTTTGTTGGGGATGTTAGATCCCCAGAACTCGCTCGGTAAATGTCTTAATTTTGGTTTTTATTCATGGGCTGATCAGTTGATCTTGAGACCACATTTCACACCACGAAAATCCTTGCCTGTGATTGGTTACTGTGTTATATTAGTGTGCTATTTTTGTGACTCTATCAAGGACGTTTCTATGATGTATAAATAAGCACGATTTGTGTGCTTGAATTCATTGTGCTTGCTGGGTATTTGTGGAATACACTTTCTACGCTATATCAAGACTTTTTTGTCAGTTCCTTTGGGTCAACGGATCAGAGTAGCCTACCTAGACCATGCTTCATTGTCTCATTCTTGTTTATCGACTAAGATGAACCCAAAATAGTTTCAAGCATACCTTGTGACGAGCATAACAGATTTATCGTGAAATGTCATTCTTAGACTTTCGGATAACTAACTTCAACGGTTTACTATCAACTACTAAAGCTCCTCATGATGTCAAATCCATAAACCGAATACGTACATTACGGCACGATCGATAGAGTCCAACTGAATGTTCAAACATAGTCAACACGACACTGGTCATTAAACATACACTGATCGACTAGTATTATATTCATCTAGTTTATTTACTTTAAAATATTACAACCACATTACTTTTAATTAACGAATCTCATATTCAAAAAAACGAAAAAAGTCAAGGTTCAGATTTCTTACAAAAAGCACTAAAAAACACAACTACTACTGTGCAAAACCTTACAGGACAATACTCTGAATGTTGATTGGAATTTGATTTATTATTAAAATCCAAAAAATAACTAATCGGTGCATGAACTGATCTATTATAATCTAAATCTCTTCTCATTGTATTTTTTATTGGTGATTGACTTCGCAGTGTTGTTCTTCGATTAGTTGAATTAGCAGCATGCATTGGTCGTTCATGATGATAATCAAGCTTCGTATGATTAATGCTGATGTTATCGTTTAGATTATCATAGTAACTTTTATCTACACTTTTATTACGTGACTTTGATGAATTACGAATTCCACTGTTTGACCTTGAAGATACTTTTCTAGGCTGTGACTAAATAAAACAGTAAAACAAATGATTTCATTTGATAATATATATTCAATGAATGATAGTTATTTTATGAAATGAACAAACAAACATATAAACAGATGATTTAATGATGATCACATAAATAGAAAGAGAAACAAATAAACATTATAGAGTTAACAGAAATAAGCGTTCAAATAACTGTGATATTATTTATGTCATTTAGTAAACAAACAATCTATGATAAGTAGACTTTTAAAAGAATTTAGCGGTTCACGACTTGACTCCAGCTGTTAGTTATTTTCATGACTAATTGTAGTTATGTCATAACTAACCAATCTAATTGTGGTTTAAGCGCCCACCATGTGATCTGATCTGACGTGTTTGTAAACTTTCTGTGTTGTAAATGACCTACTGATTGAAGGACATTAGTATCTTATTATATTGATGTGACTCATAGTTTTATTTATTTCCATAAGACATGCTATATTGTTCGGTATGTTTGGTCGTTTCAGTTGGTACCTGTAATTTCCTTATTTATTGTACTAATCTAATTGTTTTTATGTTTAGAAACAGATAAAGTTTAAAGCAAAATTGGTCTTGTTCTGACTATAGCTTTCCCATAGACTCTGTGCTCGCCAATATTGCGTTTACAGTTCTAGAAGTACATCTGTAGGACAAATTAAATCCTACATCAGGGTGGACGAATGATCGAGTGTGTATAGACATAAGTTCAGAATCCTACACACATCGGTAGTAGCTTATGTTATCAATACGCAACGAATATTCATTTATCGAATTTGTAAGCAACAATCATTGTTCTCAATTTTTTTTAAACAATGATCTCTACCGAAATTCCATCATATTTCTACAGCCACTTGTTTGATCGATGAGCCTTGCTTTGATATCTATGCATTCATTAAAATTCATCTTATTTATTCATTCTGTGTAATTGAATGCTAAATTTATTACTCCCGAACAATCCACGATCAGTGCAATTTTCACAATACTACAAATCAGAACATAGAGTTTGTAGCCAGTTTCTCAAGGAAACACTTATGTTTGTTTTTTATTCAGTTTTACTTGTACAGTATACACAGATGTATGTATGAATATGTTGTGGTGCTGTGTTGCGAACTACTTATAAGTAGTATATAGCGTGAGTGTCAACGTAAAGTCTGGTAGCATAATATGGGGGGAAGATCAAGAAAGGAAGAGTCAGAAAACAATGGGATTTGTATGAAACGCATGAAGAGTGACAATGGATTGATGTTTGGCAACAGGAACAGTCCAGTTCCATAGGATGAACTGATCTTTTGCAAATGAACGATTTACGATATGGTTTTCCGATTCTACTGACTAACTCTGTAATTTTCGTTAAATACAATTCGGTTGCCTCCACCTGTGTTCTCATTCACTACATTTGGTGTCGCTGCCTGCTCGAAGGAAGGGGCTCCCGTGGCCGAAGGAGTTGCAGGACGGAGACTGGCGGAGCTTCCTGGAGGAGTTTGGGGCCACGGTGGAGCTGGTGGGGGCTTGGGGCGGAGTTGACGGTGCTGGGGACGCTGTGGGGAGGTGAGGCGAAGGCGGTGCACGACAGCCTGGACGGCGCCACCAAGGAGACGGCGTGGGAGACGGTCACCGGGCGGCTGATAATGGAGTTCGACAGCCCAGCGGACATGGAGGAGGCGCCGCAGAGGTTCCGGTTGGCGCGGCTGTCGGCCGATGGTGACCTGTTGGTGCTGGCTGTGGAGCTCACCGGATTGCGCCGTGAGGAGTGGACGGGGCACAGTCTTTGGCGTCGCAATTTATCGAGTGTGTGCCTGCCGCCGTGTTCCAGCACCGGGAAATTGTGGACGCTACACGTTGGATAGATGCCGTATCCATTCCAGACCAGTGATCAAGAACGATGACCGAAGTGGTAATCCGGCATAGTGTAGCGTGTCACGGAATACGGAAGGTGATATTAACTGACCAGGAGCTCTGTTTTGAAGGACCACGACGACAGCTTATTAAAAGGGGGGACGAGTGTGGTGCTGTGTTGCGAACTACTTATAAGTAGTATATAGCGTGAGTGTCAACGTAAAGTCTGGTAGCATAATATGGGGGGAAGATCAAGAAAGGAAGAGTCAGAAAACAATGGGATTTGTATGAAACGCATGAAGAGTGACAATGGATTGATGTTTGGCAACAGGAACAGTCCAGTTCCATAGGATGAACTGATCTTTTGCAAATGAACGATTTACGATATGGTTTTCCGATTCTACTGACTAACTCTGTAATTTTCGTTAAATACAATTCGGTTGCCTCCACCTGTGTTCTCATTCACTACAATGTTTTACACACACGAACTCAAGCTTACACGTACTTGTAAATACTTACAAGGATATCAAATAGTATTATAATTGTTTTTATAAACTGATACCAATCACCAATCAATCAATCATAAGACCAATAAACCATGGTTTATTGAGGAAATATTTATCTACAGTTTATATTGTTAGATTTTTATTTGATATAAATTGTTGTATGATCTTAGTGATTGCTGAATAGGTGTGTATCGACCTAGTATGGAGAAACTACACAAGAGTTTTAAATTATACAGCAGCAGAACTAAACGTGTCGTCATTGAAGTTCGAATCCTGCGAGGAGCAGGAGTCGTGGATGCGCACTGCTGATGAGTCCCATACCAGGACGAAACGGCCGTCCAGTGCTTCCAGGTTTCTAATGGTGGTCTAACATTGATCGATTCATGGTTACAAATAAAACTGAACAATCTTCACAACAACCCCGCAATTAAAGTCACTCACAGTTTGTCTACTTGTTAATTATTCTCAATATTAGATAACACGTTATCATAGATAATCATTAATGAAATGAATTACTGTACTAGTTTATGCAAATGGAATGAAAGTGAGAATAGTCAATGTAGAGGAAGTGTACTTCACCAAAGAATAATACTTTATTGTTGCATTTTGAAGGTTATGTGATCATTGAGCTAGATGGTTTGATTGCACCAGAACTTTTTTTCATCAAACGATCAGAGAGAATTATAATCTAAGGAATTTACAAGATAAATTCATCAGTCGTACTAACCATGTTCTTGTTTTCCTACGTCGATACCACTAACAATTTGATAGATATTGAGATCAAAGTTTTGTCAGTATTTACTCAACAATTTCTTTTAATAATAAACTCAATTTTAAAAAAAAAGTTGAAGAAAAATTGAAATTAAAGTGTTTAAACAGAAAAACGTCTTGTTCTATGGTAGTGAAATACAGTAAAAGCAACTTACTGAAGTTTAATAAACATTTAAAGATATGAGAATTTTAAATCGTCTACCGGACTTGTTATCATTTGATTTTTTTTTATAATAATAAATTAAGGTTTTCTAACTTCAGCCAATTAAATCATAGGTGTAAATGAGTTTAGGCATTATCTTACTTTACTTATTATTTACGCCTTTTACCCCCTAAAGGAGCATAGGCCTTCGACCAACAAATTGTTTTTCTGATGAGGTCGCTCGCCACATGCCCAACCCTCCTCCTTTATACGGTTTTGCGACAGGGAGTAATTCCAGGAAGGGTTCCAGGCAGAGTTTAGGCATTATCTTTGCACGATATATATCATGAAACATAGGTAACTAACAAATTTATTCAGTTAGATTGGCGTACAAAAGTACTACAGAAGAATGTACCTGTTTACACATGGAGAAATATACGTATTATATATATATATATGATTCTATGTGAAACAGTGTTTGTACATTATCCTTAGATTCCTCTTCAGCAAACAAATGATTTGTGAGCATTTTATACAGATTTATAAATATTCAGTAATATAAATAAAAACAAAAGACTATTCGAACATGGGAATCATCGATCAACCATTGTTAAACCATCATTAGAAACCTGAAAGCACTGGACGGCCGTTTCGTCAGCAATGCGCATCCACAACATGACCAGTGGAGTTCAACCCTGTCGGGTGTAGGCAGTAACTACCAAAGACAAATGGGTGAGGTCGCGCAAAATCTCTAAATTGATCTGAGTTAGACATTAACACCGTTGGGATGCCGGCCCCAGTGGTCCGGAAGTTGGGCGTTCGTGCACAAGACAGAAGGTCACGGGTTCGGATCCTGCGAGGTGCAGTTGTCGTGTATATGCACTGCTGAGGAGTCCCATATCAGGACGAAACGGCCACCTTTCAGTGCTTCCATGTTTCTAATGCTGGTCTAACTACGATCGATTGATGATTTCAATGTGCAAAAAACACTAATCTTCATAACTCTAATTGAAAAAAGATGATTTATTGAAGAAAACGTTTGTTCAAATTTGTTTATCATACGCGGATATGATACCACCTTTTGAGTTGTTAGATTTCATTATTTTAAACAACTTAAAATATATACTGTTAAAAAAAAAGCTAAATGAATTTCACAAAAGTTGTTCATGGCTTTTCAAATTGAAACAATTTTCAAATAGCAATTTCAAATTGTAGGGTTCGTCACTAAGTATGCTTGAGGCTATTACGAGTTCACCTTAGTCGATAAATGCGAACAAGACTTTTATCAGCGTCCAGGTAGGCTACCTTGAATCCCCAGGCTGAAGTAATAAGCCTTTGTAAGCGTAGAAAGTATATTCTACAAACACCCAGCAAACATAGGACAATCAAGCATACAACTCTCGTTTATTTATACAACATAGAAACGTCCTAGAGACAGTTAAGAAAATAGCACACTAAAATACACAGCAGCCAATCACAGCTATGGATTTTCCTGTTGGGAATTGAAATCTCAAGGTCAACTGATCAGCCCATGCTCGCAAACGTAAAAACCAAAATAAGGCATTTATCAAGCCAATTTTGGTGATCTAACATCTCTAACACAAATAGTACATTTAACATTGACTATTTGATTGTAAAATTGCCATTCGATTAATATATAATCAAGTATTTGCCGTGAATTACTTTGATTATCTCATATCTGTGGTAAATAGAAATAAAAAAGGATAAAAGTAACAAGAAAGTTGGAAAAAAAGGCTCAATTAACTGGATATTGTGATCAATGGGCATTATTAGCAAAATATGACAATAGTTTCTAAAATAATATTGACTTGTAAGAATGTTAAACATTCCCATTGTGAAAATTAGAGCAACAATATGTAAGCGAACAATATTATTGTTTTCGATTAGATCGTCATCAGGCCTTACTTTCCAATATACATGAATATTTACGATGAAAATGTCAAACCAATTAAGGCAATTTATGAGTCAATAAACACAATGAAATGAAATAGATTACGTCACAACACATAATAGGCAAAAGTGCAAGTTGATAGTACGAAGGCAGGTGTACTAATAGTAGTAAGAAAATTAAAATACAATAACAAAAATTTTACGTCTAACGTGGATAAATAGACTTAAAATAATCATTACAAAACAATAAAACTATTACGCAATAAGAAGTGTGTACATAATTAGATAGTGAAGAATATAAACGGAAAGCGGCAGAAAATTACCAACAAATACAGGATGTGAAAATAGTGCTGATAATAACAAAATTAAAAACACAAAAAAATTTTTTTTAACGTTAGTTAAGTCATATCCGGCCACGGAAGAGATAGGGATGTCACGAAATTCTTCTGAACACATAAATTGGGATTGAATGTACGAAATCCTATGGCTTCTGCTATATGTAGGGGACGCGATCAAACTCCGCTGGGAAGTGATGGAGGTATACGATAGGTCACTTGAAAAGGTCTAGAATTATCTACAATATGACCACTATCAACCAGATGTGCTAAGATAGAAGAACTGCGTATTGTTTTTAACTGGCCCTTCATAAACCATGCTAGGAGATGTTCACTCATTCGTTAGTTAAGTTGCCTAGTTGAAAATTATAGATGTTTATTGGTTGATTAAGCCTACGACACATCAAACTATTAAAAATTAGTGCTAGCTTGAGCATAATCAAGAAGGTAATGAATAAACTGGTAATTTACATTACAGTTTAATTTGAGTTGAAATTGTCGATCGTTAGTGAAGTAACGTTTTGTGGATATTGCGAAGAAGTAGAGTAATAACAATAAAACAACAATATCAAACACTCGATCCAAATTAACTACAATTCTATGAATTTTAACTGCTAAACGAATAAGGTTGGAATAATCATTAATACAATCACTAATTTTAAAAGTTGAAAAATCGACATAACTCAACTAAGACACTTATGATAAAACAATGAGAAGACGTAGTTGTTACGCATTGAAATCATCCATCAATCATTGTTAGATTACTATTAGGAACCTGGAAGCACTGAAAGACGGCCGTTTCAGCAGTACACATACACGACACCTACCACTCACAGGGTTCAAACCCAGGACTTTCGGTCTTGCGCACGAACGCCTAACCTCTGAACCACTGGGCCGGCATCCAACGGTGTTAATGTTTAACTCTGACCAATCTAGAGATTTTGCGCGACCTCACCCATTAGTCTTCGGTAGTTACTACCTGCACCAGACACAGTTGAACTGCACTGGTCCACGGGCGGTCTAACAATGATTGACTGATGATTTTGATGTGTAAAAACACTATTCTCTATAACTCTGATTGAAACGATGTAGTTGATCAGAATAATGTTATGTATTTGCGCTATACATTTCAGACAATCTGGTGACCCATATCCTTGTTCAGTCATTTTATATGAAAAATAATAAAACGTCAATTAATTAAAAGTTCAAATAAAAATAAAGTGATAATTGTAAATAAAGGAGAGAGGAAATTCACATAAAATGTATAGAAAGAATAGGAAAGGGTAGGAAATTGTCTTACCAGGGTTAATTCAAGGTTATAACAAACTGTTTCAGTACACATAAAGGGGAGGGTTAATTTTCATATGAAATGCCTTGACAAGTGTATATGTATGATCAGATTGTTCGAAATGTCTAGAGCAAATAGATCACATTTTTCGGATCAACCAAGTCTTCTAATTGTTCTATCAATAATTATAAAAGGGACTAATTGTTTTAAAATACACTTTTAGCACTGTTTCAGTTAATATGATTTGATATCATACATATCATACATATATAGATATAACATTTATATGCAATAGTACAAACACTACTACTTATAAATAGTACTTATATATATTTGTGACTAAACCTATGTTGAAGTAACATTCTGTCCACTGTTAACATCAAAAAGCGAACCAATGGAAATTAATGTGTTCTTATCAAATCATTAGGTAAAGGTTCAGATAAACAGTTCAATCATTTGTTATAAGTGCAATAATTAAATAATATCATTATTCAGTTAATCTTTCAGTCTTGAATCTACTTAAATTCATAAAATCATGAATTTCCATCAAACATTAAATAACAACAATCATGCCGCATACTACTGAAATACTTTGAAACAGTAATTTCACATAATGACTGAATCATTATTTCAGTGATGATTAAGTGACAATAAATGATTCTAATGATAAATTCTAAAATAATTAACATATGAATATTTTGCATCTCGGTTCTTTCCGATCTAAAATCATTACGTCAGACATTTTGTGGGTTCGTCAATGAGCACTACTACTACTGTGGTGTGAGCTACTTATAAGTAGTATATGACGAGAGTGTCAACGTAATGTCTGGCAGCAGAAGATTGGGAAGATCAAGAAAGGAAGAGTTAGAAAACAATGGAATTTGTATGAAACGCATGAATAGTGACAATGGATTGATGTTTCGCAACAGGAACAGTCCAGTTCGATATGATGAACTGATATTTTGCAAATTAACGATGTACGATATGGCTTTCCGATTTTACTGAGTAACTCTGTAATTTTCGTTAAATACAGTCCGGTTTCCCCACCTGAGTTCTCCTTCACTATACTACTACTTTTTTCAAAATGGCAGTCATACAGTGTTAGTGGGACAAAGACTGGACTAAAGCATGATGGCGTTGTTGTATGCTGATTGGCTCTTTCTTATCCAATCAGCGCTAGCCGATACTGAGCGAACATTCTAGAATTTTCTCATGTGAGAAAACTATAAATATACTAACGTCTTTTTCCTTTGGAGCCTCTGATTTCCATCTAACCCTGTTATTGCAATATAATCTCTTCCCTGTTCAATCGTGTTCTGATTTTGGGAGAATGTCTCGAGTGAATCAGTGTCCGAGAATAACTAAGCGTTAGGAAATAGCTGGGTTGATGTAATAAAAAGACAATTATAACATATAGTTTTTTTTCTTACTTTGAACTATAAAATTAAACAAACTATCTTCATTCAGGAATATGGGTCTAAACATGCTACTTGTTTTTAATGTGAACTATTTAATTATAAATAATAAATAAACTCATTTGTACTACTGTTTACTATTATTCAGTCATTAGATACCGACATATCAATAGAACTAACTCGATAAGACACTTGCATAAACAAACTAAACTCGTAGTCAATACCTTAACGATGGTCGTCTGTAACATGCCATTGGGCAAATAAACCACTTTCTTACTGAGTTCATCTATTTGAAGGACACTGTTTATGATAATTAAGCTTAACCAAACATGTTTAAAACTCAGATAGATAATTTTGGATCAATCACCTGCATACTATTACCTTGGACGATAGTTTTGAAGAACTAGACAGATGATGACATCTTTTCTGATCCGAATGATTTCCAGTAGAATCTTTATTTATCTTCGCTTTTCTTTGACCGTACAACGATTTTGGTGGTAACTTGTTTTGATTTCTTGAACATAACAAATCTTGACTAAAACTTCTATATGAGTATCGATTCATTCGTTTATAGCCTGGTAAACAGCTATTCGTATTTTTATATCCAGCAACTGATTGACATCGACGAAAACTTGGTTTACGGTCATTCTTTTTATTTTGAGCTGTAGATTTGTTGAATTCAATTGTTTGTGATATCCGATCATCATTGTCCGAAGTATTCAAACATTCTTCAGCTTGACTTTCATCATTCTCGTTATTCACACCATCTGAAATAAGTGTAGTACTACTATCTAAACAATCTGTATCATGATCTTTAATCGATTGTTGTAATGAATCAAGACTGGAACTAAATTTTCTATTCTTTAATGAATTATTACTTAAATTTAACATTGAACAATGTCTCGGTACACTTTTCAATTTCTTACCGCTACCATGATTTGTAGAAATACACTGATCAAATTTAATAGGATTTTTAACAGTCGTTGATTTAGCTACATCCATTTTAAGATTAAGTCGTAATCCGACGTGTCTATTCAATGAATTCTTAGTGATCAATGGAGTAGTTACTTGATTTTTCAACCTTCCTGAATTTTCATAACATTTCAAATGATACTTTGTTTGGTTTTTTCCACTGAAAGATTTTTCTTGATAAGATGTTGGTTTCATTTTATTAGATGCTGGTTGTATACTGTTTGTCTTTGAAACTTTTCGAAGATTTATTTGATTAGTAACAGTTGGATTGACATATTCAATATTAGTTTGAGGATTCTGGTAAAGATTCATATAGTCTGTTGGTAATAATAGTGAATCAACTTGACGTTTCTGTTGTTGTTGTTGTTGTGTACGTGATTTTCCTTTGTCGTATGAACTTAAAAATATTGATTCTTGAATTGATTTACCACCATTCATATCGGATAAACAATACGAATCACAATATTTGCTATTCGAATCATCTGTAAGTGTTTCTTCAGATCGAGAAGAAAGTGGTATTTGTGAACAACATATTGTAACAGGTGTTTCCATATCAGGTCTAGTTGAAATGTTGTTAGTTTTGAAAGTAAGCGATTTCAATTCCAAATCAGACACATCATCAATTGTTTCACTTTCAGTTTCGTATTCTTTTCGTTCCGTTGAAGATTCTGATGAACTAATTGATTTGACGTATGGTTTTAAATGATAAATAATTGGTGTAAATTGTGATTTCAATTTTTTTCTCTGTTTCATAATCAAATAATTAATTGTGTGTTAAATTTAATGAATTGAAATGACAAGGAATATTGAATTAATAATTCTCTCTTGTTTGAATTTTGTTTCATTTATTTGGCAAAAATTTAAGTTAAACTCCACATCAAATATACCAGCATATATGTATTATGCAGAAAAAAAAGTGATAAGTAGATTAGTTTGTTTTGTTTTGACTTTTTATCGATAAAGAAAAAAAGCTGATCGAATGAGTTCATTAGAAACGATTGATTCTATTCAAATCCAATCCAATCACATTAAGTGAATTGTAATGTTGTATTTTACTATTGTTACGATTGGATAATCTCTATTCACACTGTTTAATTTCTAATACCGATACAATTTTGATTCAAATGAAATTAGATTAGATAGACAGAGGATAAAGGAATGTTTTATTGATGACTCAATCAGTATGAAACAGAACTAGTCCTACCAAATTAAATATTTAGTAGTGTACGCTTATTTAAACATGTCAGTAATATTCTTATTTATTTCCGACTTACACAATTAAATATTGAAATTCAATGTTCAAGAATAAATTGAGTGGAAATGAAAAACAAATTTATACTGGATTAGAAATAGAACATTTTTTTGGATCCTTTTTTTCAAGATTTTATCAAGAAAGAGTTATTAAAACAATTAGGCTCTTTTATAAATTTTGATAGAACAGTGAGAAGACGTAGTAATCGGACTTTGCAATCAAAAGTTATGGAACATGTACCTAAGTGGCTTCAAAATCAGTTAACGTCAGATGAGCCTATTAGCGAAACCATGAATCGATCAATATTAGACCTCCATTAGAAACCTGGAAGCACTGTACGGCCGTTTCGTCTTGGTATAGGACTCAACAGCAGTGCGTATCCACGACTCCTGCACCCAGCAGGATTCGAACCCAGGACCTTCTGTATTGTCCGCGAACGCCTTAACCAGTGAAGTTCAAACCTGTTCGGATGTATACAGTGTATGAGGTTGCGCAACTCCGTGAATTTGATCAAGTTAGACATTAACACCGTTAGATACCGGCTCAGTGGTCTAACGGTTAGGGCGTTCGCGCACAATACTGAAGGTCTCGGGTTCGAATCCTGCGGGGTGCAATAGTCTAACATTGATCGATTCATGGTTTCAATAATGTAATTTAATAATCTTCACAACAACCCCGCAATGCAAAGGGCCTATTAGCGTTGGAAATAGGAAACCATGTTCATCGATTGCAAAACACATAATTGAGACAGGGCATAAGATTGACATCAAGACAGCCTTCAAAACATTATATAGAAATGTTGAAGGACGAATTTTGACGTTTATGGAGGCCTTAGTTATTCGAAAATTAAACCCTCCCCCAAATGTGTGCAGAAACAATTTGTCATAACTTTGAATTTATCCTGGTAATCTTAAAGCCTAGGGTAATATGACAATTTTCCTACCCTTTCTTATTTTTTTCATATAACGTTAATTTTCTCTCTCCTTTATTGACAATTATCACCTTACGTCTATTTGAACTTTTATTTAATTGACCTTTCACTAATCTTGATATAAAATGCCTTGACAAATAAATATGTATGACCAGATTGTTCGAAATGTATAGCGCGCAAATACATCACATTGTTCAGATCAATTACGTCTTCTCACTGTTCTATCAAAAGAGTTATTAGCTTTTTACACATGATCTTAGCTCAGATAGCCGAGAAGCTTTTTACTATAGAGAAAATCAAATGAAGTGAAGAACAGAATACATTAGAGCATCAAATTTAAATGTTAAATAGGTTTCTTTTTAATTGTAAAAACATTAGCAACGTGCATCTAAACTCTTCAACGAACTTGGACTTCATACTGAACGTAACGCCATGCTCATTATAGTTAGTACTGAGATATCTGCAATTATACAGGACATTGTTCTGAAAATTAAACTCTACTTATCAAGTATACAGAAATACTCAACGACATGCTTACTTAAGTACAATATTATGTATACTGTCTTAAAAAATGATAAATAAGTTTGTTTGATTTTACGTGATCAGATGGTCTAAGGTGAATTAAAACTCAAACTGTATAATTTACTGCAATGAGTTTAATACTTGCTAAACATCGGTTTTGACTGAAAAATTCAAATCAGCAGAAAGAGCTTAACCACATTTCCATTTTGACAGTATATTGTTATTTTATGTCAGTCTATTTAGAGAAATAAAATACAGGAAAAATTTGTTTACAAAGTTCACACAATTTTTATTAAGAATAACATTCATAATTTAATTTATTCTAACCAAAATACTAAAACAACACTATACAATTTTTAAAACTATCTCGAAAATAATTTTTATCATGAAATGAAGTCATTTGTATAACCATTGAAATCAATGATTTTAGCCTTTATTTGAAAATTTCCTACAATGCACAACAACCAACCATCCAACATTCAATTGAAACCAATAACATCGAGGAATATGTCGAGTACAATGTATCGGTGTGTTGAGATGTTGGATGCCCAGAACTCAATTGATTAAAGGCTTAATTTTGGATTTCGTGTTTTCGCGCATAAATTGTTCGGTTGACCTTGAGATTAAATTTCCCACTCGGAAAATCTTTGACTGCTATTGGCTAATGTATTATTTCAGTACGCTATCTTTGTAGCTCTCCCAAGGACGTGTCTATCACTGTATAAATAAACTCGATTTGTATGCTTGTCAACCTCATATTTTCTGAGTGCTTGTAGAATAAATACACTTTCTACGCATTATCAAGACTTTTGATATAGTTAGCAGGGCCGGGGACAATTGAATCAGAATAGCCTATCAGGTCACTGCATCATTTGTCACCGCTTTCGTTTACCAAGTAAAGTTTCAAGCATATCAAAAAGGCTCGAGAGAATTACTTCACAACTTCAAACTCAATCATTTCACCACACAGGATCATCTATATCCAACGCCAACATCAATGATGAATAACTGTGTCGATACGCCCACATCATTGACCACATAGATCTGAGGGGTTTCCAATTAGAACAAAGGAAAAATTTGTTCTGAAACCAGTCTCTGTTTATAAGATGATTCCTTTTTTTTATCCAAATGACATTTTGAGATTTAGTACAAAATGGGATCAGGGTTCTCACTGAATTTTCCGGCTGTTTTTAGTTTATGATGAAAACTAACCAACAAACAAATGAAGTATCCTACTAAGACAAATTAATTTAGATGGGTGGTTTATGTTTGTTTGGTTATAGTGAAACTACTTGTTCCATGTACAAAAAAGTGGATCATGGATTTCTAAGAAATTGAAATTAAGTTATCGTAAAATAAATGTTTTAGTATGATACAGTTAGTTTTATATTTTTAAAAAAAGTAGAAAATTGAATTGAGTAAAAAATTGAAGTGAAGTAAAAAATCTAGAATTTTTAGAAAAATTCACGTACATTTTAATTAGGAAAGATTATATGTACTACTGAAATTACCATTTGAAATTCCATGCAATAATATTTTACTCATCCGCGTATTATATATTTAATATATTGAAAACTGCAACTGTAATTACATATTACATATCATCCAGAATGTTAGTTAAACCTCAGTATTAGTAGAAAATATAGATTCAAAGACTTGTTGCTTTTAAGCAGCCTCGCAATTCCATGATACAGCTGGGAGTGAGGAGAGTTCACTCTCACTCAAAATTCCCTAACATGGCCACAACTTTATAATCAACCCCACAGAAGTTTTATTCGCTACCTCCTAGTGTCAGTGTTTCCTAACGAAATTGAGAGTATGACTCTTGAACTGGGTTGGTGAGTACAGAGGATTCACCTTGGGGAGTTGAAAAACCCTGACTCCAAATCAATGGTGCACATGGTCTACATGATGCTGAAGGAAAAAATGTCGTATGAACCTTTAGTTGGTCATCGGATACTACAGAACTGCATCTTCTGACGTTTGTCCACTTCTTTGTGGGTTAGACCTCCATGCCAAAGGCCCTGGAGGGATGCCTTTCGAGAGAACTACTTGCTTCATTTTGGGCACCTGGGCAGCCTATTAGTCCTAGCACAAAATCATTGATTTGTGTGGGGCATAAATACTTAGGTGCCCCCAAAAATAAACAGACATCACGTTTTCAGTCAAGCTCTGTTTTCAACAGAAATATTGAAGTGCTTCTTTGTACCAACGCTTGTATGTTTAAATATAATAAATGATAAATACTTTTAGTGATCGAATATGGGAAACATGTTCATTAAAACCCTATCTTTTGTATAATTAGTGCTCTTAAAGAGTCATTTTTATTCAGTTCTATTATTTTTTAATATCAGATTTTGTACAGGTGAACACATATTTGTATGAACATTTATTTCAGAATAGGTTGTCGCAGTAGTTTACCTAAAAATATTGTTATGCTCGTCAATTGATATGCTTAAAGCAATTACGTGTTCACCTTAGTCGATAAACCAGAACGAGACAATGAACCAGTGACACAGTAGGCCACTCTTATTCGCTGCCCCAAAAGAACTAACGAAAAAGTCTTGATACAGAGTAGAAAGTTTAATCTACAAACTCCCAGCAAACACAATGATCTCAAGCACACGAATCACGTTTATTTATACACCATATAGACGTCCTTAGAAGAGTTACAAAAATAGCATACTAAAATAACACATCAACCAATCACAGCCAAGGATTTTCGTGGTGGGAAATGTGATCTCAAGGTCAACTGATCAGCCCATGAATAAAATCCAAAATGAAGACGTTTATCGAGCGAGTTCTGGGAATCTAAAGTCCCCAACAGGTATGTTGATTGAATCCAATTTTTGACCATCCGAAAAAGAATACGAGATTAAAAACTAACTAAGATTGTTGAAAACAATATAAATTTAATTTAGGGAATTTCTCATAATCAAAGGTCGAATTAGCATTATATTTGTGGCTTTTCTGTTATCGAACGTTGGGAAAATTTCTTCACCATAGGTAGTCATTCGTTGCTCAAAAAACTCTGTGGTTACTTCACAG